ATTTGGAGGGGCTTATTTTCGGAATTAATTTTTCTTATTTTCTATTGTTTCAAAATGATTAAATCACACCTTTGGAGCAAATTTGTGAAACTCGTGCACCCAGTTAGGCAGAGTGGAAAGAGGAGCAGCAATGAGGAAAGGTCCTTTGACACCCATTTCAACGAGAAAAGCCAGCATTGATATACACTGCAATGTTTTTCCAAGGCCCATTTCATCAGCTAAAATACCATTCATTCCATTTTCATACAGAACCTGTGCAGAAAAAATCAGACAATAAGTGATTTTCCTCAGACTTCATAAACTTTCTGCGTCTTTTCTAACAAAGGGTGGCAAGGGGAGTGGATACACATGTCTACATAAAAATGATATACTTATCTTACTGCTGTAGTATGGCCCATAATTATTATTCTATTTATTGCTGACCAAACAGCCAACATAAGGGAAATGAGCATTACAGGGGTATGTTAAATGTACTATCACAAAAACAAAGCCTAGCTACTGGAAAAGCCCAGTTAACAATACCATTTAAAAATTAAATATATTATATTCTTAAATGTGTAAAATTTACTTGCATACAGAACTGACCTTAAGCCAAGCCAGGCCTTTTAACTGGTATGGCCTCAGAGTTCCACCAGTGATAAATGACGGCTGAATTGTTGATTTATCATCATGACTATTCGAGTAACCAGCCTGTTGACCAACGGGACAGGGAAATTAAGCCCATGGATTGAACCACAGCAGTGCACTATGGTATGCTGAGGTCTCACAATTTCCCAAAGAGAATTGACATGACATGGCCGTGTCAGTAGGCATATAGAATTTACATAACTGCACCACCCTTCAATGAACACAATAGATATGAAAATTTATACATGTTTGAACTGGTTGTAGGAAGAGCTAAGGTGGATTAAAATAATCATTATTCTCTCACTCTTGCTAAAGATACAGTTGGAACTACAGTCGACTCCCGATAATTCGAACCTTCAAGGGAAATAGAAAAAAGTTCGAGTTATCGGGAGTTCGAGTTATCGAGGGTAAAATTATATGGAAAATGATCTGAATGGAAATGAAAATTACTTCGAGTTAACGGGAGGTTCGAGTTATAGAGGGTTCAAGTTACTGGGAGTAGACTGTATACAATGAGGTACATTTATGATAGGTCCAGCAGAACTAATCAGGTTTTTTAAAGAACAACCTTTGGGATGTTACTGTGGTGAACATTTCAAGATGCTGGGGATAAAGATTTTAATGACAATGCATCCCACTACTAACTTGTTTTCTTGTATGCTAAGGGAACATTTTTAACATTTGTGCCATAAGCTTACAATATGCCCTTGCTGTTGTTGTTCCCCATTGACTTGTGGCATTGCATGTGGCTCACTGGTGGATTTCATGGTGAGTTGTTCTTTTTCTGTGGGGTCTCCCTCTTCCATCAACTTCTGCCTTTTTGCTAATGACTGCAAACAAAAACCATGGCATAATCAAAATTTTATGTACAAACCGTAACAAATTTTGAACCTCTTCCACTCATTTGCAGAATTTATATGTATCATAAATTACAAAAATTTCAAAACTTGATTCAAGGCAATCCCTATGTGTACAGTATTTGCCTTCTTTGATAAAAATTTACCTCTCTATCAAGATACTCAGAAATCATGTAGGATGACGACTCCTGTGCCTTTCTTCTTGTACCTCGCTTTGCTTTTGTAGGTACTGTTTGATCAGTATGAGGACTATTGGTGTTTCCTGTTAATTTTTTTCTTGCTCTTCTTGTCACCCTTGGCTCTGCCAGTGGCACCTTGAAAAAAAAATAATGTAAAACATCAGATGACCAGGAAGAAAAAATAAAGATCATACTGCTGCGATGTTAAGTTTTCATAAATTTAACAGTCCTACGAGTGCAAAAAGTTTAGAAGAAAGAAAATGTTTAATTGTTTTACATGATCAGATACTTCCCACCCATGCATACTTTTGGTATTTAATAATGTTTGATTGTCAAAAGTGTGGTTTCAATGTAGACAACCACCGTGCAGAAACAGCCATCTCTGTCTTCAGAGACTAAAACTTCATAGAAGCTTTACCTCTATTCCTAGGGCACATACAAGACAACCACAGTCATGTTCAGCCACTTGTAAGCCACATTAAGGGGTTATACAACTTGCAATCACATATGCCTCACATGTACCTGTTGAAAAGTGTTTTGCTCTTTATTTTCCTTCTTTTCCAATTTCTTTGCCAACCTTTCTTGCTGTTTTTGTGTTTCCTTCTTCTGACTTTCCATCCTTTCCAAGAGAAACTGGCAGTAGATGTGGGACTTTTCCAATAAATGCTGCAGTCTTAGAAATCTCTGCTTGTCTTCAATACTGTTCCACTCTTGCTCAGCCTGTGGTCAATAATGCATTCAATAACGATAATAAATCATTCATCAATCAATGCCATTTTTGGGGGGGTATTCCTGAACCTTCAATTGCTCCTGACATTTCTGTGTTTCGAGGTTGCTATGAGTCACAGCAACAAGTATGAGCTTTGGGTACTTGTTCACATACTCTTTAAAAATGTTTGTTTTTGCTTTTTGGGTGATATGCAATGTAAATTCCTGTGGATGAACTGATAATACATTATGATACCACAGTTTTACCTTGTGCATCATTTCCTGTTGCTCTTTGCTTGTCTGTTCATGGATAGCTCTTTCTTCTTCCTCCATTGCTGCCGTTACTTCATTCTCTGCCATATCAGCCAATAACTGACTGAGTTCGCCATTCACCTGAAAAAAGCCATTGCAAGCTGACAAATATGCATATTCAGATGCCAAACCAAAAGGGGAGAATACAGACTCTTTTAACACAAACATTTTGCACTCCCCAACAGTTATAAAAAAAAATCAGGGTAAAGGGATGTACGTGCATGTATAACACTGAGTAGCACTGTCTTGCTACTATGTACCACATGAAAGTACTCTCTTTTCTCGCTGGCTACATAGACTTTATTTCTCTACCAATGAACGTTGTTGTTTGTTTTTTGTTTTTAGAAAATATTACACAATAACAGCATAGTGTTTCCCGTTTCCTTCCCAGGCAAATTATTACCTCTTTTTGATTGACAACAACATCTTTGATTACTACTGAATTTAGATTCACAGGTTGTGCATCACTGTTGCCAGTGGGACTAACTGACATCTGAGTTTCCTTCTCGTTGAGCTCCTCTTTATCAGTGAACTGCAAAATAATGATGTTCATTCTTTACCAATGAATGTTGTCGTTTAATTTTTGTTGTTACAAAATGTTACACAATAAGAGCATAGTGTTTCCCGTTTCCTTCCCAGGCAAATTACCTCTTTTTGATTGACCTTGACAACATCTTTGATTACTACTGAATTTAGATTCACCGGTTGAGCATCACTATTGCCAATGGGACTAACTGACATCTGAGTTTCCTTCTCATTGAGCTCCTCTTTATCAGTGAACTGCAAAATAATGATGGTCATTCAACCGTCATGTGAAGTAATTGAAGTGAATGTAGATACATGCAGTGGGTGTCAGAAAAAAGACCTTCAGGATAGCATTTTACAGTGGAACCCCACCTTATGGCCAACTCGATGATACGGTCACGTCGTTATTATGGCCATTTTTTTTCCTTGGTGACTGTATTAACAGGGTTCCACTGTATTTATCAAGGAATTAAAGTTAAGTGAGGTTTTGATAAAGCAATTAACAGTCACAAAAACTAGCCACATGAATTTCCTGATTAATCATTAAGACAACGGGTGCAAAGAAAGTTAGTTTGGGCAAGCTGTAGCTAGCATGCACTAGCCCATAAGTCATTTCAACTAGCCCCAAAACCCTTTTTGATTAGCATGATTGATTACAATCCTTCTGTAACTTGAATTTTCCCAAAAAGCACCACTTGTCCATCGGGCATGTTAAGAACAAAATTAACTAACCCAATAGCAAAATCCACTAGTCCCGGGCTATCGGACACGACTTTCTTTGCACGCTGAGACATCTATCAAATGAAATCTTCTAAACAATCAGGTCATTTAATGTTCAATAGCAGACATATTAGAATGCAAATTGCCATTCCGCCATATTATTTCTATGACCAGTGAAGAATAAAATTAATAGAGATTTCTAACCTTTTCATTGTTATTTTGTGTTTTTTCCATCATATTTTCATCTCCATTCTGGACACCTTTCACTGAAGAAAGTACGCAAGCTTCTTCCTGGTGACTTTTAGAACTGCATTGTGCTTGATCAGCTCTAAGCGGTGATGTTGCATTAGCACCTCTCCAATAATTTACAATCTACAATGACCCACATTGCTTTAATAATTATAAGAATATATTTCAAAGTGTTCAATAATTACTTTTATGAAAAGATAAGAAAAAAAATATATTACATGTAGGTTTAATTTTATCAGGCATCAATAATATTATTTCAAAACATGAGGAGAACTCAATGTGAGGGGGACATTGGGGTTTAAGGTGTTAAGGTATTGAGCTTTTTTAAAGCTGTACATTTTGTCAGTAATTTCTATTTTAATGTGCAGTATTGCAGCATCATCTAGCCCTGTGACAGGCCTTTTTCATCCTTTTGGGTGACCGTGTTCTTCATGATATTGCAGTACTGTTCAGAGCACTGCGAAAATGAAGACCCCTGAAAATGCAGACCCGAAAACAAAGGCCAAAACAAATTATGCAACAAAAACCACAGTAAGCTATACAGATTCATTAAAGTTACTATTTTTTAACTCTTTAGACGTAAGGGTAAATGATTACACTATTTTTGACAACTAAACTAAAATGGAATTGTTGTTGCATCCAATGACTGAGGTTTTTATCATTGCATTGATAAATTCAATGTCTTCTCACATTTTCTTGCAATGGCTGAGGTTGATTTTTGGTGCATATTTGCTTGAGATAAACAAACACGAGATGGATACAGCTTTCAGTAAACGTGACCGATCTTAAATGCAATATAGGTATTTAGTTGATTTTTGACATGGTAATTTTTCTTACATGTATGTGATTACGGTTCTGCGTACCCCCCAATGGCCCCCACAAATGTGGAAATAAATACATGCATGGACACCTACCTAACATTCTGATCAAGTTCCCTAACTGCCTGAACTACACTACACCTGCTGAAATCTGAGACTCAAGAAAAGTGAGTACACCCTGGTCAGTGTGGCTTGGTCAGTTTTAGTTGTAGTACTCTCAAATTTTGATCTTTTTCATGATGTACAGCTACATTCTTATGGTTTAATTTTGTAAGTCAGTGTGCCAATGAATTGTGTGAGAAACATGTAAACACATAAGATTAATGCTTAACGTCCGAGCAAATGTACCACATTTTTCAGGCTGTATAAAATGGAGTATTAAAGGTAAAGCGTCTTCCAGTGTTTGGTGTTAAACGATAACAGCACTCATGCAAAACAAATAAAAGTCAAGACATGCTAACAGCTTGCCACAAAAATTCAGGGAAAATTAACCCAAAGAGTAAACTTCCCATAGCCAAGAAACGAGCGATCATTACTTTGGTTTGTTAAGATCAAGAGCCCTGATAATTCATAAAACAACGCCAAAAATGTTCAACATTCTCAAACCTTCAAGTGGTTTCCCAAAAAGTAAGCAGTTGGCACGACATCACTCAAAATATATACCATCAGACAAGGCACATTCAAAGTCTTTTTACTTTAAAATTTAAGGGAAAAACCAAAGAGGAGTTACTATGATGAGGGCTTATTCAAATGAAAGACGACCCAGCTCCGAGCCACAAAAACCACAGCTTTACACAACAATGCCAAGAAAAGGTTCAAGTTAATCGAAGTGGGTCAGGTTTGTGGAGTCAATAAAGCCTAAGGGCAGTTCGTGTCTGATTTCAAAGACAACAAACGCTGTTAAAAGTTTCATCGAAAGTATGCTATTGTAATTAAGCTTAGCTTATTACATAAGCTCAGCTTCAGTTGAAACGAGCTTACTTGGCAGGAAGAATCTAAACTTACCGCTGAAAGTACAGGCATCTTAATCCCCACGACGAAGGCCAAAGAAGAGGCGATGGAATAGCCAAGCTGCTAAAAACGAGCGGGACGAAACACCACAAACTTTTCGTGTAAAGGACCGGTACAAAACTCACACTGTGCGACACACCGTGCAACTACGAAGCGCACATGCAAGCAGGAGAGCGTCCAGCTGATCACGTGAGCAAAGATTCGCGCCAAATCCTAGGCTGTAACCGTGGATTGGTCCCGGGGGGGTACTGCCATATATGGGCTATATATAGGTATGTGCCGCTGTGAAGGGTATGGTTTTCAAGCAGTTTACTCTAGGATAGGGTGTATAAATCAGAGCGTTTGGGTCTAGAATAGGGTATCATTTTTCAGGAAACTGATCAGTTGGTTCAAGATTTGGTCTAGACAAGGTAAACAGCTACTCTAGGATAGGGGAATTTGGGGAATTTACTCTAGTATAGGGTAGCAAAATTCAGCTGAACTAGCTCTGGTATAGGTTAAGGGTTCCAAGGTCCCAGCGGCACATCCCCACCCAGAAATTCCTAAAGTACCCCCCCCCCCGGGGGATTGGTGAACACTTGAGAAAACAATTTCTTTCAAAAAATTCCATGATAAAAACAGCTCAAACTTAAAGATAACAGCTCGATGAACCGAGAAAATGAGTCAAACCTCTATTAAGTGGCCGGGGAAAAATAACAAAAAGCAATCGAGGATCGAGGAGTATCTACGATCTCATTTCCCCTTCATGTTTTTTTAAAAACAAGGAAAGTCAAAGGAGCCGATGCAACAGATGAAAACGAATTTACATGAAGACATTACCCATTCATGAATGGATTAACCTTTGTTCCAGAGATTCCAACCCTCCAGTCCCGTTTTGAACGGAAACCTCCCGTTTTCGCTTAATATTCTCAAGGTTTTTTTAACTCTTCTATTTCTTTGTTTAACCAGTCTTTTTTATAGCATGCAAAGGGTATGGTTTTCAAGCAGTTACTGAGCAGTTTACTCTAGGATAGGGTATATATTAAATCAGAGCGTTTGGGTCTAGAATAGGGTTTCTCAGCCACTTTTACCCCTTTGGCATCCGACCATGAGCCTGTGATAATTTTGGGCGCGATATTTCCATTGACTGTGATCCCAAAATGCAGGAAATGGCATCTTAGAGGCATTTTGAAATTCTGCAAGCAGAATACTGCAATGCTGATCGTACTACGTGAAAATTAACTCTGCAAGACGTCAACACTACACCGAAAGAACTAAAAACAGAGCAGGATTGTAGCCATAGACAGTTTTCTCGCTATTATTGTAGCTCTTCGGCAAAGAAAGCTCTGACGTAAAATATCCGCGTTCTACGGAACTCCAGAACTCCCACAGAATCACGCCATCAGGTGCCTTCTGGAGGGCAAGAGTCCAAAGTGTCAAGTTGATGTCTCGCAGAGAAACTAAAGGGTTGGCCAAAACCAGCCTCAAAAACATGGACGGAACCACGCAAAAATTACAGCATATCGGATCTATAAGGGATCTAAGGCCCAAAATACATAAAATACAAACATTGACGTTTGCGGCCCTGTTCAGTCCTTTCTGGTTTATGTTTGTATCTTAGAGGCACATATCTTAAAATTTTCCCGGGAGCATGCCCCCACACCCCCCTAGACGCTCGTGCCTTCGCCGCTGAGCCGCTCCTAAAACTTCCCTTTTTTAGGTCTACAGGGTTGGAATCTCTGCTGTTCATCTGTTATATCGTGAATCGCCTTGTCCCATTCTAAGAGTCGAGGAGTTTGGGGAAAATCTCGAGTTAAAAAAGTCGTTACTACTCCATTCATCTTCGGAAACCCACGGCCAGGGTAACTTATCTGGTCAGGACTGGTAAATCGTTGGAAAAGCGAAAGGGAGGGGTCAGTGGAAGAGCTTTATGGGTGATGGTCAATTCGAAAGGGTGATCATGGTAGCAAACAGCTGACCATAGTAACTATGAGCTGACCAAACACTACCTGTAATACTTGAAATATTCAAAAGATGACTTTTGTAACGTTCATGACTCCCTCAATCCACCATGTTCTATAAATAGTGTGAAGTAAAATGAACTTGAACCTTCCTCTCACCACAACAATTACAGAAGCATATGAATTCCCTGTTTTCGATGTTGAAAAATAAAAGGCAAAAAAATCCTGGAACTTAACTGAGAACTTGAGGTGTTCCGTCCAGTAGGAGAGAACCCTTGGAACGAGGTTGGTGCCCATCCGCCACGATCCGCCACGGCGTTTTTACGCTTTTCATCCCAGCCAGATTTCCGCCATGGATCTCTCAGGATGCATCCTCTTCATTCTTTTACTAAATTTCTCTCAGTTGTAGAGCAAGGTAGTAGGTCTGACAAGTTCATGCATGTTCGCATCAGCAGGTTTCCGCAAAACTGAGGATTTGGCTGTCATCGGTGTCACTTGGTGTTAAAACATCGTCGAACAGCCAAATCGCCTCAAAGGTTTATCCTTCATTCGATATCGGCCTTGTGCCTTTTTATTGTAGTTGTTTTAAGCTTACATAGCCTGCGAATACAGCCCCCGTCTCCTCGGTCCTCACTACTTAGGACGTCAGTCAGTCGCGAAAGAGTGTAGATTGAATTTGCCGAGCCGAATTCCAGACGCCCCAGGCTCCGCGAAGCGCCCCTTAAAGCAAGGAACAACGAGAGACAGCGGTATTTGCGGGCCAAAGCTTGCAATGCTTAACGTAGACTACAACCCTTCTGGGCTGGTTCTGGCAAATGACGGGATTTTCTCAGATAGAGATGGAGCCACTCGGTTCTCAAAAAGCCTCTATTTTACTGGCCTTAGACAACACATCATTTTATAGTGCTGGCAAGACTATTTCGCTTATGCATGGTTCATTTTGACCTGTTATCAACCCCTGGGCAAACCCAGGAACAGCGCTTAACGAGTTTTTTTCTTTGTTTTCTTTTTACAAATTTAGTATCCATGTGCTAACTGTATTATACGTGTATTATCCTTCTTTCAATAAACCCTAGACAGTGTTCATAAAAGATCTATTCAGAACGTCTTGGTTTGCTATGGTACGGAAATAAATATTGCTCTCTATAAGTTGTTTGTGAGATCGATCAAGAGCTCGGGGATGGGGAATTGTCTCTTTCTCCGTGCTTGGAATTAGGGAATAGACCACCAAGAAAGAAAACAATTGCAAATCCCGGGGGTAAGCCGTTCAATTAACTCTTAGTTCTTAACTCGGCTGTGTTTTGTGTTTTAAATTTGATAAAAGAACAAGAACAAGAGACTAGTTCAAACTAAACCTGACGGGGTTTTCAAAGGGTCTCAACATCGACTCTCAAAACAGCGGGATTTAAGAAAGTTGATAATCAAGGAAGCCAAGTCAAACACAACACAAAAAACAAAAAATATGAAAAGAGAAAGAAAAGAAACGAGAAAACAAATACTTCAAATATTAGGGTCTTTATTACAGAACACCCAAACAGACTGGAAAGAAAAAATAGTCATTTGTGGGCTAATCCTATAGAATGGTGCCTAATTTATTGATATTATTATGTATAAAAAGGAGTAAGAATCTTGACACATTACCATGACAACCTAACTCCGTTTACAATACCCTTAAAATTCTTTACTGTAGGTACACGCTGGCGTGTTTCATACTTTGTGATCACAATTGCCTCTATTATAAAAAAATAAATTTTTCTATCTCCGATTAAGTGAAGCAATCGTGAGATCTAAAAGAAACTGTATGCAAAATACGAGGGAAGGTCAATCCGCAATTCTCTATTTGGATTTAATAGTTCAGTACAAGACCTGCTTGTTAAACTGAGGCTAAAAAAAGGAAATAAATTTAATAAATTCTCGCTGATTGCATGCAACGAACCTCTTTTTAGGTTCTTTGTCAAGCTTTCACAAGAACAAAATCTGCACCTCATATATTAATCATAAACCCCCCTGGGTGTAATGATAACTTTTCATAAATTTCAAGAGGAAAACAACTGTTAAAAAGTGCTCGGCGCTACAGAAAAAAATTCCGATCAAAGGTTAAATGGGACTCAGAGCTTGTCTCTGATATTAAAGAGAGGGATCAAAAGAGCGGGTCTCAATCAAGTATTTAGTAAGCTTTTATATGATTGGTTAAGAGGACATCGCCTCATTTTCTCAACCAATCAAATGCGACTTGCTGACACGTGGTTTCTCGCGCTTGACAAGTTCTGATTGGTCTTTAAGATAGCCTGTGTTTAAAAACTGGCCAAAGCGATTGCCTTCAATTTCCAAAAAAAGGGGGCGCTTTCGATTCAGCCCAAAATTCCGGAAATTTCGGTTAGAAATCAAATGGAACGGACCATTTCGGTTTTGCACCCGGCCTCATAGTCAAAGTGAGGAGTTTCAAAACATGGAAATAGCCTATTCACGTTATTCAGCAAGTCCATTACCAAAACAGAGTAAAGCTGATTATCTAAGAGTCCCAACTCACATAAGGTAAGTCTTTACTGAACCCTTGTGTTAAGAACTTAAAACCTTGACTTAAAACCTTGCCGGCAGAGATTTTATAGGGCTTCTTCATGTGGTTTCGGAAATATTGAAAAATATAAATAACAAATTGACAACAAGTTTGACGTAAATAGGGCATTAAAATATGGCTTATTGGTTCCTTATGCAGAAGCCAAAATCTCAAGCAACCTCGGACACACAGACACTTAGTCGGAGTGATAAAAAAGCACTGAAATCGGTGGAGCGAAGAGACTTTCATGAAAGGCAAAGCAATTGCCTATCGGAACCTTTCTTCCCCGCCAATTTTACCCGTGTTTCCTGTTCCACCCAAATCCAGTACCCCGGGGTATTGGAAAACCGAACTGAAAGGAAATCACGAGCACTCCTCCTTTATTCGCCGTATGAAATTGCACAAGTTGACTCTAAAGACAAACTGCGAAGGATTACACTTTTTTTATATAAACTGTCTCCTTGCTGCACTTAACAAAATAAAAGCCTTGGGGGTATAAATATGGATGATATGAAATGAATTCCCTGTGGTACAATTACAAGATACCCTCTATAAACTATCCTTGCTACCCGCGTATTAAAGCGAAACAACGAACTGTTTTGAAGGACATAAATAAATTACAAAGGACTTTCAATACGCAATCAAAATTCAAAATTTACTAAATCGTATACAACAAATCCAAGAAAATGATTATAGTCACCCAGACTTGGCTGCTCGCTGGCGGAAAACGGCGCTAATACAGATTAACGCGCGTTTCAAGCGTTTGTCGAACTCCACACGTGCATACTTCGACGTTTGAAACGGGCTTCAGTTTTAGCAAAGAAAACTGTTTCGTTCCATCCCCGCCAAAATCACACATGGAGGAAATCGTACGGGTGGGCAGTTTTTTTTTTCGCTGAAATAAATGGAGCTAATTGGGCTGTTATATCTGATCGTGGATATGTCGTCATCTTGAGCACTCCCCCGTCCGATAACCAGTGAAAAAGTCCCTACGAAAACTTCCGTGTCTTAAACTGATCATATGCCCAGATAACTGGGTTTTTTTTCACATGCTACAAAATAAAATTTGATATTGGTCTTTCATGAATTACAGAGAGTGACGGTTGATGAGTTCATCGCCTTGAACAACCACAGCCTGGTATCGTTAAAACTTTTGAAAATCTGCGCGCGTCGATGTTAAACAAACAAATATGATCGCACCACAATCACGGGTAACTGCAATCCGGAAAGCCGAGAATCTATTGCCTTTCAAAATACTCCAAGGTTTATCTAACCCTCCGGATGAGAAAAATATATTACATGTTAAAACTCTACCTAACGAGAAACAATTTCGTAACTATAAAATATACCGTAAATTTGGCAATCGACTGCCGTTTCTTGGTATCAAAAGCAGCGTGGAAAAACATTAAATTTACAAGGTCCTAAAAAATTACAATTTATTTACAAATACCCAAATTTGGTCTTAGGGTTGAGGAACTATAGAACACGCCAGTCGACCATCCAGCCTGTTTAGAACAAACTTTCTTTGGAATAAAATATCACATAGAACTATTTCTTTGTATAAAATATAATTACGATAAATTCTGTATATTAAGTTAAGTCGACAAGCGTCATTTGCTATCCAAAATATTAACCTGCTTGGTAAGTTTTTCCATGTCTTCCGGGCTGATACCGCTTTTCAACGTTCTTCGAACTACAACAAGAACAAATGACAAACGTTGTATAAAAATTAACGCTGAACCTTGAAATCAACTGACATTCTTTCCTTTTTCAGAGAAAATCAAGAAGTGCTGTTTGTCTTAACTTAGACTACAAAACAGCCCGTATTTTTCCGTGGGCCAAGAACGCGCGAGCGGTCAAACGAAAGGCTTCGGTTAGGGTTACTCTCAGATTGAACGCAGCCTGTAGAACAGGGCGGCGTTAGTTTTTCGCGTTATTCAGGCGAGCGAAGGCACGCGCGAAGCTAGTGAAGATCGCCAGACACACGCGACAGGGAAGACAAAGAGAAAAATTTTCGGCACCTTCCCCCGTCGCGCGTGTCTCGCGCTCTACGCCCGCTTCGTGCTTCGTTTGCCCGAGAAACGCGAACAAATAGCGCCTGCTCTGCAGACTTAGTGAATGAAACCTGGTAAGGTGGTTTTCACTTTTGAGTCTGTGGACGAAACACTACGGTGTGACCATTCAAACGAATTCTCCTTGCCAGTTCTTTCACTTAATGTTATTTGTTTTCAGTATTTCACAAAAAGAAATTTGGAAATTTCTTAATTGGAAATTCTGACTTTGGCCACTTTTCCGTATGCGCTTCTGATAACACTAACCTGACTTCCTATTGGTGGCCCTATTACGCTTGCGCACTCGTGTTCTTGAGTCCGGTACAGTAGCAGATTTGGCCAGCGTGTTAATGACTTCATCTGTGTTGTCATCGGGGAATTCATCTTGTGAATGCATCATCGTGTCGTTGCGTGATGGCCCAGCGCTTTTTCCTCTACTTCGAAGTCCGGGTAGTGTTGCGCTTTTTAACTTTTCTCTTGCATTATCCGTGTCGTCTCCATTAGAGATAAGCGCTCGGCGGAAAGCGTCAATGTTCTCCTCGGAGGAAACTTTCGCTGCCGCCGAGTAGGACTGTGTATAACAAGGAAAAGAACACTAAATCAATTTTTATAGTCAAATAACTTTACAGATTATTTCAATAATCTTCCGGGCCGTCACAATCGCCTCGATTGTGTGAGATTTTGGGACAACCGAAACGGTGGAAACGAGACTTGCGACCACCCAACCGTCTGAATTTTCCCGGATCGCATCAAAGGTCAAGGTGTTTTCATATGATTGTCTCACGACGACTTGGGCGATCCGAACGATTATACAAATACTAGAACTTAATAAGCTCCGTAGCATTTTGCAGCAACATGGGTGAACAATTCCTTATTACTAATTTGAAAAATATCGTTTGCCGTTACCTCTGTTTCCGTGATAAGTTTTCCTCTCGTTTTGCTTCTCTCCCTCATGTTTTCTTTCTTCTTCTTCATTTGAATCACTCGCTCTCTGGTCGTTCGGTACTCCAAGGAAAACTCGCTTATAATCTTGCAAAACTCGTTGACCTGGCAAAAACAAAATTAATATAAAAACGGTATTCTCCACTGCACAAATTGAGGGAGACTGGGTACCAACTGCGCTGCCAAAGTTTTCTGGAACCTTTGCGGTTACTAGGTTCTACTTTCAACCTGTTGGATCCGTTCACAGGGCTCTCACACTTCGTATAACTAATTCTTAATTTAAATTTACCTTTGTGTTATTAACTGCACTTGTCTGTAGTCCTAAGTACAACAACATCTTGCGGAATCTACGAATAAATAAAACAATGACCTGGTATAAGCACGAGACACGTTCAGGAAAAATTTCGGGCCCTTTTGGAATCTTTCGAGCATTGTTCGGAAATAGGTAAGACCACTGACCTGTTCATTACGCGTCTGTGGACGACCTTGAGAATCGTGCTTCGTTCCTGCGCATCGGCTAAGAATTCGCTCATTCTGGCAAAAGAACAACAATTAAATTATTAAGTTCACACTAGTCTAACTCCTTTTAAATGACAAATATGATAGTTCCTTACGCATAAGATGATTCGCTTATCCCATTTGTTGGTGCGATTCTGCGAAATAATATTAAGTATTAATATTCTCAACAAGAATCTAAGCTCTTTTTTCCACCAGCACCGAAAAAAATCTATGCCTTTTTCCATCAGCACCAAAAATAAGGTTAAAACTCCATTAACACGTTTCGATTTTATCCAGGGAATGGTATGAATGAATTCCTGTCGAATCAACACCGAGCGTTTGCTATGATAAAACCTGCATACAGGTTGCACCGGTTCGCACGACTCGGGTAACTACGGAAAAATAAAACTTCAGAAGTCCAGTCCAGAATAAAAGCATATGGCTATCATTACTGTAAGTATAATTTAATCCCATTTGGATTGAATAGTACCCTCTGCAAGGTTTTTGCGTGATCGCGCGGGACGGTGCAAGCGAGCGACTGGAATCTAGCGTTGTGCCAGGCATTTTAGGAAGGAGGAACCAAAAGCAAAAGACATCTTTCACAATCCCGTCCTCCTTTGCGCCCCGCACAACTGCAGAGACGCCTCGCAACGAAAACAGTTGTTTTAAGTTAAGATCACGTTAGTTAGGTACTCACTTGCTCTTGAACTGTTTGGCGCTATCATGTTTAGCAACAATGCTTAAGTACTCCCACGACTTTTTGCAATTCTCACGTAACTTCTTTAAGTTGTCAAGTACGACGTCAAAATCCACCTGAAAGTTCATCATTAAAAGATTAACGTCGGAAGAAAAGGGGTCATAAAAAAAAAGTGAAATTTGCTTTTCAGAAGAGGCAAACAAACGACCACCTGAAACCAGTTAACAGTTAAGTGAGGCCTGGTTCAGACGCCGTACTTTTGATGTGCCGAAACTAACTGAATAAGTTCGACTTTGGAGCGACACTAGCGCGACATATGATTCAGACGGCGCACCGTGTGTCTAAGCCTAAGTTAAGTTCCACAAAACTTCTCTGTCGAATTTTTGCCGCACCAAATTGATTCAGACGCCGCTCTTTTGCCGTACTTATATGAGTGGAGCGACGTCTGAACCGGACCTGAGACTATTCTGGCCAATCATAACAAAAAGAGAAAAATTCAATTAACTACAGTCGACTCCCGATAACTCGAACCTTCAAGGGAAATCGAAAAAAGTTCGAGTTATCGGGAGTTGACTGTAATTTGAATGCCACCAGAATGCCAACGAAAAAGATCCACTAAATTAATCTTGATATACATAAAATTGTACCAGGCGGCGAGGCTAGGGGGATAAAATAAAAGAATTGTATTACTTTATATCACTAAACTTCAAGATTAAGTGAAGCGCGCAGAAAAAAGCCACACGATCCTAAAAATAGATCATAGTTCCAATTAAATCTCATTCGATCGTTATGTTTACTACTTTTCTGTCTCTACTTCTGTTTTGCAAAAACAAATTCCCTGAAGGAATTTCCAACATTTTGAACTTTTAACCTGCTGGCAAAATTCGTGGTTCCGTAGTGAATCATTGCACTTCATCTTTAAATAATAAACGATTATATTACTAGGACTGAACATCCACATTACCCTGGACGATCGATGTAAGGCGCCCAAATCACTGTAAAAATCAGAAGAGTTTGGAAACTTCTCCATCACCATACAGCACAAGTGATATAATAATGATTGCTTGTGTACAGTGTCCTTCACTTCCGGCACCTTTGCCAGGTAGTCCAACTGAAAACCCTTTACCTGAAATACAACGGCCTTTCTGATTAGTTCGCATTTCTTTAGAGTTAGTTAGTTAGCCAGGTCGTTGGCTCGGCTCATGCCGTATGTGCTCTCACGATTTCGGTGTGTTTATATGAGAAGACGAGCTGATCTTCTAACTGAGATATCAATTGCTCGAACCGCGATCTCAGCAACCGTTTTGGCCTCGCAAATTCCATACTGATGACGTAAGTCAAAAATCACATTACTAATCTGGCACACCAATGCTTTTTGTAAAAACAATAATAAATTCCTAGGATATGATTGGGTTTTGTTTGGTGGATTAAGCACAATGACTTTTTCGCCCTTTTGTCTCATTGGTCCATAGAAAATAATAGGGTCATTACTTAGAAATTTTAAATAATAAAACAAATCTCTTAAGAATCGCCCTATTTGACCTTCCAAGCTCTACACTGGTAACAGAAGGTATCGTAAGAATATGTAGCTGTAACTATGGTTGATGCACGAACCTTCTTCCCGTTAAGAAAGTTTCCAATGGCCAGAAGAGTTGCCAAGATGTGCTTAAAAGTTTCATTGTTCTGCAATTCCCGTATAGATTCTTTTAGGTCCATAAGCGGTTCTGCTACTTCCTACGAAAATAGAAACGTTTTGTTACTCATGAGTATAAAGATATTCTCTCTGCCAACAAGCCTCCAATGCCTTCGTCCGACGATAAGCTCGCACGAATAAAAAGAGGGTGAAATGTGCGCATGTGTAATAGAAGAAACGTGTGCCGAGATAACTGATTATAAGCCGGTCTGAACTTGTCTTTCTCACAACTGAAGAAAGGTTGTCCCCTATTAATTTAACACCTTTCAGGCCTTGCACTTTAATCACATAGTTGAATTGTGGAACTGCACTTGCAGTTTGGCTCCTCTTAAAAGTTTCTCTGGTCCTCAGTCTTTCCAGCACTCTGTTTTTTAAAAAAACTTTCTGTGACCATTTACAATCAACTTTTAACACCATGTACTTGGAAGCTTGTAAAAACCTGTTCCTGCTACAGATCTTATACTTTTAACCCGGAATTTTCCGTAGTTTCCATGTATTACTATTGTTTCAGTTTTCTTTTTAATCTCGAAATATTTTATTACTGCACATAGGTTTATACCAGCTGTTTTTTCATACTCAGCTGATCTATTTTTGCAGTATAAATAAAGTATTTATATTATACCCATATTTTACCCCGCGGGAGCCTTTGTGTCCCGTTCGCACCAACCCACTTGCGTAGACAACTTTTCCATTTTATTTTTGATGTAACCTGATCCCGCTACATCACCCTCACAGGAAAGTAAAACCTATTTCGGTACACCCTTCTTCTAGAGTGATTACATTTCTCAAGTAAACGAAATCGGGAAAACACTCAAAAACCCGTTTTAATGTTTGCGAGCGTTCCATATCGAATTGGAATTTGTTTTGAGGGCAGGGGAAAGCACGATTGGGCCAAATGAGTGAAAGGCGATCGCTCTCGCCACTGCGACAACTTGCTCCCCACGAATAGCGAGTGGAGGGGGGAGGGGGGGGGTACCACATAAACAAGGCCAAAATCTACCAAACTGTTTACAGCCTCACCCTTTCAAGCTGGTCATAATCCAGTTTAAAGGACCACAAGTGAAGGCGTGGAGTTAACTCGTTAATAGAGGACATGGTCAACAAAAATTGTTCTGCTGTTCCCAGAGGAATGTCTGGATTTGACATCTGCGCTTCCTGTATCTTGGTTTTTTCTTCCATTGTTGGCTGCAGCTGAAGCAATTTCTGAAACAAGCCAAAAAAATCGCAAACCATCAAAATCTATCTGAAGTCAAAAGAAACAAAAACGTGTTGCGAATACCTCATGATATTTACTTTTGTTATTCTCGCATTGATCGTCTGCGTGAATGGAGTTTTTTTTAAAAAAGGACAGTTGGTGACTGCAATGAAGGCTTATACAGGGAAGGGTCATTAATATACTTGGTAGCCTGCAGTGTAGGCGTATTTTGGGCGGGCGAGAGCTGCTTCTTTATGTTCGTACTGTTGTAACCGCCATCTATGATGTTATGACGGTGGAAGATTAGGGACAGTAAGAATAGTAACCCTTAGGGTAGGTGCTAGAGCGAAAGAAGGAAAGGGGAGAGGGGGAGGGGGGAAAAAAAATTCCCTCCATTTTCTCCTCTCACTTTCGAGTTTCAACATGGCGCTCCCGCGAGCAAAACATTCGCGCGCCCGAAAAAAACGTCTGCACTGCAGGCTATATACTTGGAAGCGACGCACGAGTGACGTCAAACGGAAGTGAGGCCTTTCCCATTTTATCATTCTTGGGTTATTTTCGTACACAAGACAGCAATTTTATTTTTCTCTTTTTGAACGTAAGATTTGGCCGTTGTCGCCGTCGTGGTTGCTTATGACAGCTCTCAACAACAAGAACAGCTGTAGCATCTTACGTAAACATTTTCATGGCTCGTCACGCAATCCTCCTTAGCACTGCGTGACAAGCCAAAACAACGTCTGAGTATAAGACTACAATGTAGACTAACGACTAGCTGTACTTACGTCAATTCCCTCTCTGTCAATCACTGCATTGTCCATGTTTAGGATAGCTTGCTTCAATGTTCTGATCGGTGGAAGCTTTGTCAAACCAATGTTGATTGCTTGGGAGCGTTTCATTTCAAGCACGACTATCTCCTTTTTCTTGTCTTTGTCTTCTATTTCACACTTCTACAACGGAATAAAAAAAGAAAAAAGTGTTTCAATAAATCTTTTAGCCACCTGCCCGGAAGTCGACCCAAATGGTACAGAATACATTACTCATTGACCACGAGGGTGAGAGTTAGACTTGTACAACGCCTAGCACAAGCCACGAATCTTTCGTGCCATGAAGCACCTTGTGGAAATATTACGCAGCTTTAGCAAAGCCAACATGGACACCAACTTGACCAATAGCAGACCGGCAATTTTAACACCGGAAGTCGCGTTCAGTCCTTTCAGAGCGCTTTCGAGTTCTCATTTGGCGTTGAGTTGTTTTTGCTAATTCAGCCTGTTATAGCCTGGTCCCAGGCTAAGCCTATTACCACCCCTCGGATGGGATGCTGAGTTTAACCCAGGAATGTCACCAATACCCATTCGTGGACTTTAGAAAACAGAGTCTACGGACGCTTTCCAAAAGTCAGAACTGGCCGGCCGGACCATGGCCAGACCAGACATTTTGGCAATGAAATAGGTTTTTTGCAAGAGGTTTTGCTGAAAAACCATCACCTTAGTGCATAACGTTTAGGATTTGACTGATCTGGATAGTTAGTTTGATTAAAAGTGAAATTCTTATTACGATGTCATGGGAATGGGCTGGCCGGTCGGTTCTGACAAATGGAAAGCGCCCAAAGAAAAAACGCCTCGGGAGCGGCACGGTTCGAACCGAGACCTCCAGGTGGAAAGTGCGTCGCCTTGTTGTCCAGGCAGTAGTTGTTCAAAAACTGGATACAGCTATTCATAAGATAAACAAATAAATAAATAAAAGATAAGTTATCAAAACTAAGTTAGCAAGGGTTCCTTGGAAAGCAAGTTTTAGGTCCTTTTTTGACGTCGAAAATGCTCCTTTTCTAATGCTTACGTCCTAAGTCCATTCATCTATGTCATTAGTGAGCCTAAGCAAAGACGTTTTTGAGCGACGCACGTCAACGGAGGTGGACTTTTTGCTTTCTTGGGCAGTGATTTTGTCAAAATGATTGGGCAAACCGTTTCTTTTAAAGTAGAGACGCTTAGCAATGCAAATTTGGTAGCATCAATGCATAATAAAAGCGTAAAGTGCTAGGTGCGTCGCTAAAAAACACCTTTTCTTAAGTACTTACACTACGTTCGGAAGGTGCGAAATTTGACGCCTAAAACGGACCTTAGCCTCCCACTAAGTCAGAACAAATCAAAAATGACGGCAAATGCTCTTACCTTAATCTTTGAAACAGTTTTGTTCTCAAACAAATGTTCAAGTTTCTTGGTATCAATATCCACAGTGTCAATACTTCCCCAAATTGTCTTGTTTACGCCATTTATAAGCGGCGAGTTTTTCACCTCTTGCCAAAACAAACGAACTAACTTTTTCTTTGGATTAGCATCATTCAATGAAGGCAATTTTGGTGGTCCGGGCGGAGGGGGAGGCGGACCTACACCACCAGGGGGTGGGGGAGGTGGGGGAGGACCGCCAGGCATAGGAGGTGGGGGAGGAATTCCAAACACCGGAACTCCCCCATGGGGGTGGTGATGTGCATCAGTTTCATCAGTAGATGCAGAATCAAGAAGATCGTCTTCATCGTTTTCTAACTCGGTGAAATTAAAGTCATTTACAATGAGTTTACGTTTTAGGACTATCATTCTCTCCCATTCAAGCTCTTTTAAACGCGTCGCTTCTTCCGCCGCCTTCCTTGCGGCTTCTTCTTCCTGTTTACGGCGTTCCTCTTCTTGCCTCCTCCGAAGTTCTTCCTGGCGTCTGGCTTCCTCCTCTGCGGCCGGGTCTGGTTTATCATCAGACGGTTGCTTCATTAATTTAGCCTTTGCCTTATCTAACAATCCTTCAAAATCACCCTCAGGAACACTTGACGGTCCTTCGTTTTCTTCGTCCACCTCAGGACATCCGCTCAACCTTTTCACCGCATCAGAAACTAAATTTTCAACGGCCAGCGTTTCCATCGGTTTCTGATCTCCTTCATCATTGTCTCCAACAGATAACAATTGTTGCTTTCGCTCATGAACAGAGTCACCTACTTGCAAACTCGGATCACTAATTTTACGGTCCGATTCGTCCGTCGATTTTTGTTGTCCGTAAAGCATCGATAACATCATTTTCTTGTTTGGAAACCCTGGAAAGCCTTCACAAACACTCGAACGTTTTTCAGGATCCGAAACACTTGTACGCCGGTTATCATTACCAGAACCTGGGCTTACACTAGTCCTTCTCTCAGGCGAGCTCGACCTTTTTTCGTTTTCTTCGGCAATTCTTTTATTTGTCGCATTGTCGTCGTTTAATAAATCATCGGTACTTGAACCGAGTTTTTCATCGGTGTCTGTACTTTCATCGCTAGTTCTATGACCAGATGACCCGTTGTGGTCTATATTATTGAACAAAGGTTCTTTGTCTTCTTTCTTAACCTCAGGGGTCTTTTTCCTACTAACTGCTGTAACAGACATTTCTTTTTTCCTGGGTGAAGTTTTTTCATCTCTTATCTCCGAGTTGTCATTCTTTCGAGCTGACGTCCCTGAAGTCTTCCGCAGTTTTGTACAGTCTTCAGGTGATCGTAGTTGTTCCTCTCTACTTCCTCTTGACCGGTCGTTTAGTCTCTCTAAAAAACAAGCCAAGAGACAGTGAAATGAATGAGTCGACCGATTGAATACGATTATTAACTCTTAGTGCTATGACACTGCACTATGAAGACAATCATGATGTTGACGACGATGATGATGATGATGACTGTGACGAAGACTAAGAAAAATGTTTTTCTAAACTTTTATTTGATTACATTGTTTTGTTTAGTTCCCACTGGGATCATTAGACCCTTTATAAACCCCTCCTTGTAAATTTCACACCGCTTGACGCCCAACAGTTTACTCGTGGCTGCTTTTTTCCTTTTCTTATATAAGGATTATCTAATGTTGCAACTAGGTTTCAACATTACATGTTGCATCACTCTTATTTATCTGACTCCTTTCACTTTGTATTTTTTTTGTTCAGCATATCTTCTTAGTTCTTATGTTATAATTTACAACCAGTTAGAGCAATTTTCAATTGAGTGTTGAAAGTAACCCAGGATTGAATTGGTTTTGCTTTACTGTGCTGTTTGATTGGCCTAGAAAACTCGCGCCACCCTCTCAGCCAATCAGATGTAAACTAAAACCAATCGCTCCTTGGTCACTCGCGTTTTCCCGCACTACAGGACGGTTACACGCGTTTACTTCGAGTTGCCATTGGCTCCCTCTGATAATTTCCTTTACTCTGATTGGCCATTGTGATTACTTTGGTTTTGGCTTTCGACACTCAATTGAAAAGCGCTCTAAAAGGTGTAAGTGCTATCATTGGTTTTCCTGACACATATCCACTGCATAATGATTTCACCGATTAAAATGGTTCAACAAATTTTGAACAAGCGGGGCCAGGCAGGCCTCAAGCGGATTTCTAACACAGAGAGGACGAGAAAGCGAAGCGAAGTATTAAACCAAAGCAAGCGTGAAGTACTTCTATCCATAATCATTTGAAACCACTCCATAAAATAAGGTCAAACACGAAGCCGTCTCTGCAGGGCCGTCACAACAATTAAAGCATAGAAACCTACTTACATGAAGAAACGTCTTGCCTAAAGCGAACGGATTCACTCTACTCCGCACTCACCTTCTGTTTTGGGTTCCTCAAACTTGAACTTTCTTCGTTGAGTCGGGGAAGATCTTGGGGAGCTCCGAGGTGATGGGCGTGGTGATGAGCGCGGTGAGAGGGGTCGACTGTCATTAACTGGTGAAGTTACCTCTAAATGACCTCTATCATTATTGCTGCCTTTACTATCCGCTCTTTTCCTAGTAGTTCTTTCGTTCTTCCTAGAATTTGTAGATTCGTTCGTTTCGGGTTCAGTTAATCCAAGAGCGGCTCGTCTAGCAGCGCGACGCTCCCTGTAAAAAATAATTTTTTTTTCAGCTCTTCAACCTTAATTTCAGAATAATTTGTTAGGAAGTTTTGCGTAAAAGCCGTAGTTAGGCTGCGTTGATCTCTTTGCGCAGTCCGCCGCGGTCACTCACTCCAGGCAGCTTGAGTAACCCGCAAAATGATGTTTTTGTTTATGTTTTTTCCGCTGGTACAACATTTTAAAGGTTCGCACCCTTTCTAAGCCAAAGACGCCTTGCTAACAGCTTTTATGTACTGGGGTAGAACCATCTGGCAAGACCATGAACACAAACACTTAAGTTCAGTTGGATTTTCAAGCGCTTGAGACCATAAAAATGGCACAAAAATCGAGCTTGCAATTACAATAATTATTTGTGTGTGTGTGCACTACATACTTCCTTGCCAACCGACTTCTTTCTTTCTCGTCGATTTCACTTTCTGTTGAAGAAGATGGAGTGGTACTAGCTGATGTCTTAACAGGCGACGCGGGGGGTTCTACTTTCACCGCTGTTCCCACATTTGGAGCACTTGCTACCTTGTGTAAGCCATCTCGACTTTGAGCACCAGGCGGTGCTAAATGACTGCCTTTTGTGATGTATGAAACATCGATCTGGCTGATGGAGTTATGCCTCCGACTACGCCTTCTGTCGCCTGCGAAGTTCAACGTGAACATTGTCTTAGACAATTGTTAAGTAATCTTCTGTGCACTTTTAGAGAAAGGGAGAAGGGCATTGCAAGCATTTCAAAGGAAAACTACAGGAATCCTCATGATTGCCATCCTTCCTTTTAAAGGGTCTATAACCTCTCAACGTATTTCATGTATATTCTTGGTTGATCGCATCATTGATCTTTTAAACAACCAGGACGAGTGTTAACGCCGCTAATGAGACATTCCTGCACCGAAAAGGTACAAATAAATTATCCCTAAGTGCCAGACCTCAGATTCTGGGTTGATTGGTACGATCCTTAGGGCGTTTATAAGGCAGAACAGCCAAGTATAAGCAGAAGTGTGTGCTTACTACCAGTACCGAACTGAATAAAACTACAACACAACTCCAGCAGAGCATTTTTTTTCAGGATCTGAGAGCCTGAAATCAAGGCCAACGAGACTTTTTTTAAAAATAAATTTAGTCTTACTTTACTTTTCCTGATCAATAACGATTTTGGAAAACAACACTTGTTTGCCTTCTAAGTTTATTACCTGTGCCAAACGCCGCTGTTCTCTTTCTTTGTCTAAGGAGAGAAGTCATTTGTTAGCACTAATGAAGCAATCATTTGCGCGCGAGGATGGAATGTGCAATGTGTTGTCTGAAAAACATTTTCTAACGTGTGAGTAATAATGGGATATGCTAAAAGGCAACAAAGACTATCTTTTTTGTGACAAAACTTTTAGATACTTCTGCATACAAGCTAATCATTGTTTAAAGTGGCTGGTCTTCATAGAAGCAAAAAAGTATGTAACAAATATTGTAAAGAGCGCATGATAACTATGGTACTTTAGCTATTTCGTGGAAATCAAGATGTCTGGCATGAAATCTTTACAAAAAATTGAACCACCCAAAATATGTCATTAAGGTGCAATCCTTTAAGATCACCATGGTGTAGCAACGTAGCACTCGATGACTGTTGATTGGCAGCTCTTGACTTAAACACCACTTAGTATTGCGTGGTGCCATAACATGGTCTAAAATCAAAAGGGTTATACCTTTGCTATAACTTGAAGTTAATGCAATACCTTATTGAAGGTGAGCTTCCAAAGGCAGGAAATTCCTCATCGCCATCCTCAATCCGGAGGGCCGTCTTAAAATAAACAAAGTACAAACTACATTAGGGCGTATGTTAGTGACATGCACGTGGACTAGTACCTCAAGCTATGATGATATTCGAGAAATTTAGGGTCACGTCTACGGCAAATGGCAAACGTCACTTTCAAGTTGAGAATTTCTCTAAATAGCAATTGAGCAGATAAAAACTGTCCAAAACAGTTTTTAAGGATAAAACTGGCGTGAAACTAATCATTTTTGAAAAGGAGTAATGAACGGTAAACGATGCGTAAAGGGAAAACTTAGTCTTCTGGTACAAATTCACGTTTGCCGTTTGCCGTAAACGCGACTCTCGATTGCTGGGTGTAACCGTGAAACAGAAGATGGAATTGAAATCATCATCATCATCATCATCATTTTACTTTTCTGTTTATTTCTTCTATTCCATCTCATCTCTTTTGATACGTTCAATACTGATTGCAAAAAAAGTTTGAAACAAACTTTTAACACCACAGTTGACTACAACAATGTGTTGACTAAAAAAGGTTTGAATAACATGATAATAAAAAAAATCAGAACCCTAGTTATAAAACTAATATTGCGTGGTGCAAAAAGGTCATTATTCCCATCAACAGAACATCTACATATGAACACTTACCTCATAAATATTAAACTGCTCCATCAAATCAATATTTGTCCCTGCTTTCTTCTGATGCATCTGAAAGCATACATTGTATGTGACCAAAAAATTACCGGTAAACTTCTTTTTCTTCTTGTTAAACGATACTTTTGGTTGGCATATGGCTTTGATGTATCACGTTGGTAGTGGAGAGCAGAAGTGACCAGAAATTAACGTTTTAGAAGATACGTTTTGCTTAAAACTATTTACAACTGAAACATAAATTTTCAAGAAGAGCTGTGTTGAGAGTGGGTGGGGGGTGAGGCGCATAGACCGTTGGTTCCGCTCTAAATTTGCTCATAAATTTTACCTTGATAATCTGCTCCATCCCCTGTTCTTCAAGTGCATCTGTTATGTCATAAAATCCATCTTGACTTGGGGTGGCATATAGAACCTGAAATGAATGATATTAATGATCAAATCCATTAACAATAAACATGTTAAACAGAATATGACCTTCAATGCAAGGACCTCAGAGGCTCCAATATAATCAAAGTATAATTATTTGTACCACCCAAGTGATCTACTCATAACCATGGTCATCTCAGAACTAGTGTTGCTGAGTGTGGCTTAAAAAAATACAAAGAACTTTCCAGTTATTTTGATTGGACAGGCAAAATGAAAACCAGGATTTCCAATTAATACAAACTTTCTTTCACTGGAATGAGGTGTTCTAACCAAAGACCATTTTTTTCTCACAACAAAATTATGATGAAGCTTTGATCTTACCTTATTAATGAGTGTCATAGCATAAATGAGAATCTCCTCATCAGCCTGTGATTCTTTGTCTGTCATTATTCCTACGATTTCTTGCCAGTCCTTGACACCTATTAAGATACAAAGAGCCCTTTCAGTTAAAAAACAAGCAACAGGAGCAAGAAATGTTAACAATCCATAGTGCAACTAATCTGCGCCACACATGAAACTAAACTCTGGTTAAGTCCGTCTGTTAAACAGCGCCGAAATCCTTTTTCCTTGGGCCCCCACCTGTGTACAAGGATTTGAGTATGTGTCATGATTGGCCTGTTAAAAAAGCCATTGTCAATTTGCCAATCAGGTTGAACAGAAATTCGAAACACACTTCTAGTATTTCATTGCATCCATAGGGGTCTTGAACAAGGATATCTGCATGGCTTTGCAGACATTAATAACTGGTGCAAGGTTCCAAGTTGGCAAAAAAGTCCAAATGGTTACTAACAAGATGGATAGCAATGGTCCATTGTTGACAAACTCCAGGCTGATTATTGGCAAATGCCAGCCTACCAACAAATTACATGTTTCACAGCAATAAGAAGAAAACCCCGTTAGTATGACCACTGCTCACTTTAATAGGATTTTCATTATTTGGAATAAAACTCATCGTTAATGATGAGCTTGGGAGCAGGTGCCTTAAAGGTTAGTGGGGGGCCAAATGCAATAAGTAGAGAGGGGATATCCATGGCAACCCTGGAAGCGGGAACCACCCCAAGAGTGGCCACTAACCGGCAACGTCACACTGAATGAAATACAGTGGAGATACTTACATAAGAGAACACTAATCTGAGAAAATACTTACGAAACCACCAAGCAGGGAGGGAGGAGAGGGAGCAAGAATCCACAATGATTCACAAGAAGGCAAAAATTGATCCGCTACGATCAGCAAGCAAATTTACAATGCAAGGCAACACTAGCAAAAGAGCACACAAGGAGCCCTGCAATTCACCGAGGGCTGACCTGTAGGTCATGTACTGGAGTGGGAGAAGACCGCTGGCCAACTCACTCGAGTTTAACTTTGCCTAAATGATATTTAGCCACATTAAATTTTTAAGACAGGGGATAATGGAGAATAATAATCAAGAAAAATATCTATTTAGCATACCTTGATTACTATCCACTGTTTGAACTGCATCATACAACACCTTTGAGTTAGATTCTGTATACTCCACAAAGACCAGAAGAAGTTTCAGAGCTGTCTTTCCCACAAGTCGAAACTGAAGACAAGAAAACAGAGTTTCACATTAACAGTGAACCTACTCCATGACTCAAATGCTCTGGTTTGATTTTTAGGCATTAAGATCTTAAACTACAGTCCATTCTCTATGAAGTGGATCATTGGACCTGGGATTATGCATACCTCTTGCATAGGTGCCTTACTACAGGGAGTGAAAGAAAAGGACTGGCAAATAGCACTGACCAATTCTAGGTGTCCATTGTAGGAGGTTTCCCTTCAAAGAGAGTTGAGTTTATAACTGTCAAACCTCCTTACAGGCCTTCTGGTAGAGTGTGAATAACACAAGCAAATTATGCAAAATTTCCAGGAGGAAACATCTTGCCCCATCAGGATTTCCTGCATTTTTTTAGTAACACTCTACGGTGAAAAATAGCCAAGAAGGGGAAGTACTTGTATTTACAGTGTCGTTCAAATATAGAAAAAAATTACAACATTTGACACCTAGACAGGACCAATCAGTGGCTCGCAGCAGCTTACACAACAGAAAAAGACAAAAAGCAAAAAAGTTTAGAACTAAACAGTCAGCAGTTTCCGTTTCTAGTCAACATTGCAGGAGGATCTTGGATTGGTTGCACTATCTTATTCAGTCAAGATGGCTTGATATTAGCCTCATTCATTTTTGTGTTTTCATTGACCCTAACTTTGTCTTAGTCCGCTGTTTTGCTCATTCACAAAAATGCATATGAATGTTACAGATTAATATGATTTCAGGTTAAAATTTTTCAACCTACCGGTAGGTTAATTCCCAATTTCTAACCTAAAATCAACCTATGTTAAATCAAAATTAACCTGAAATCACATTAATTTTTACCTGGAACATGTCGACCGTTGTGAGTTATTAACATGTTCACTGATAAAACTGATAACAACTTTGACTAAAATTTTAAAGAATAATTAAAACTGAGGTTAGTATATATAATTACTTACTCTGGAGGCTGTGAGGGAATAAAGCCACTGGATAGTATCACTGTGGTTAATAACACCATTCATTCCATCCACATACAACATAATCTGTCCAATGGCTGTAAACAATAATTTCATCATTGTCATATTTGAAATCATCATCTCAAATGTTTATTTCTCCCACCTGCATCTTGAAAACAGAACTTAGTGTTTTCAAAAAGCCCAGGCAAGATTAAATATTTTGTTGTTAAAGCCAAGAAAAAGAGATTAATAAATGACAACTTTGACACAGAGATGTATCCAGATGGACAATAAATTGCTGAATTGTACCCCATGCACATGTGGAGGTGCTATTAGACTAACCAGAGAGAAGCCCTGCTAAAGCTCCCAGAAATGCAATCCTGTGTACCCAGGAACACAGTATGTTTTTCCACTTGCCCAAATGGTAAACGTTAGTCAGCTAAGGACCCCAGGAACTGTTAGAGACACTGTGACAACACAGTCTTGGATATATGTGAAACATTATTTTGATTCTAGCATAAGCCCTATAATCATTAATCAGCCGATAAACCGCAGGCAATAACCGTACACACCATATATAAATAACAACAAAATATAATGTTTCCTTATGAAAAGGAAGAAGCGCGGCTAAGTGGTTATAGAGCTGAGCTTGTAATCCAGAGGCCCCGAGTTCGAGTCCTGACCTGCCTACTAGCTGAAGGAATTACTCTCAGTGGCCCCGAAATCAAATCCTTGGCCACCATCGTAATATAGGCAAGTGGTTTGCCACCTACCAGTTGGGATTCTTAACCATGTTATGTTCCATTTGAATTATTTGTTTTATTCTTCCTGAAAAGACGTAATTAAGTATTTGTATTAAAAATAAACGTTAATTTTTTATTGTTTGATTACCTCTGAGGATGTAGTTCTGATAGTTTTGGTCGGCATCCTGTCCTACAGATATCAGAGCACTCAAGCCATCAGAATTGACAAATTCATGCACAAGGTCCTTGTCGTCCTGTAGAATGTTCACAGACAAAGTTAAAATGCCAACATTTGAACTCATCTGTGCCTTGTCCTAGCTACACATGCATCCATGTAGGGTGAAACCAATTAATTTATACTATAAGTTGTGGTTCAATTTTATCCTTGGCTTAAATTTTATTTCCCTTTGTTTAAACTCATTATCATAAATTACCATACCCCAAGGGCAATAAAATTTAAACCAAGGATAAAAATGAAGCACAACATATGCATCTTTTTTGTGAACCAGGAAGACCAATAATTTTTCACTGTGAATTTGCATCAAATTCATAGCCATAAGACCGACACCTACCTGCACATACACTGGCACATGTATAAGGATAGGAACTTGTGCACCATTGGAAAGTTATAATTTTAACTTATAATGTTTCCCTCTTTCTTTTCCTCATACAATAGAACCCTACCTGAAAGATTTGCTTCAAGGAAAATAAAGACCTTCTAAGCTCTCTGCCTGAAGCAGCAAGCAGTTTTGCTGTAAGAGAAAAAGATTTAGAAGTGAGCATGTTAACTCATGTTGAATGTTACTTTCGAAATGATTGCTGTCAGCTTCACACATGCATCACAGTGGAACTTCAAATTAAATCTCTATACAACAAACACCTCAGGGGTATAGTTGATATTCCCTGACCCAGGCTACAACAACATACCATACCATGTTATAACAAACACAAAATAAATCCCCATCTCTGGCAGCTCATTATATCGAGCTTGCAATGTACAAGCAGGTTACTCTTCCTATAAAATCCATTAACATACATAAAAGAAAATGATTTCTAGGTAATTCACATTATTATATTATATTTGTTTTTCTAGTTTCCTTGATCACATGAGTCTCCATGGGCATTCATAATAACATAAACATTTTCATGAAAAAAAAAATGTAAAAAATAAATACATAAACTCATGAATCTAATAATACAAGAAAGGATGGTTTATCACACAGTTTGGTTGGTAAAGGTTAAATTTATAGTGGCAGCATTCATTAGTAATTGAGAGAGACTGTTTATGGGTAAAGATTTGTCAGAGATGTAGAGGGACAGGCACTACATATAAACAAACAAATAATATTTCATTGGTGGTTCATAGGCAACAGCATACTAAAGAATTGTCGAAAATGCAATGTAACGCGAATGATGCCTGATGTAAATGGTATCAGTTGGCCCATGTTTCCCCTTAAGCTTCATAGGTAGTTCTCTTTAGGAATGCCCATTCCCTTATGGTAGAGGATTATTAACAATGCCATGTATGTGTACATTGTGGATTACCTAAGTAAGACAACACCGTGAGAACATCGACAAGGAATACTCAAAAAAATTGTGAAGACAAAACAAAATTTGTTTTAATGTTTTGCACCTTATAAACTACTTACTATAATTAATTAAGACCAGCAAAATAGGGCTAACATGTAGTCTATCTTTTCCATTGGTTGGTTTCATGAATGTAATGTAATGGTTTTCATACCACTGTTGGTTTTTTTTGTTGTTGCTAAATCACACACTGTGAATCTTTATTCATCCTTGTTTCATCTTGCTGATACTTAACTAATTAAAAATGGCTCTTTGATTGGAACATCATAGGCAAGGACACCTACAAACTACTTTGTTGTTGAAATCCCCAAATAACATTGACATTAATAGGATTATGTTACTTCATTGTGTCTTCAGAGAGAGCTTAAACAAAAGGCCACATTGTATCGGATTAACAGTAGTACCTGAAAACACTTAATTGGTTTAAAAAAAAAATGCAGAAGAAAAAAATGCTGAAATCCACTGACATAAAAAAATCATACCTGGACACTGCTGCAAATGTTTAAATTTGCAGACACTGATTTTGGTAATTTGTATAACACAGCAGATGTTAACTGATGCCTTCTTTTTATATTGTGGATTACACAGCATTTGCATGTTATCAATATTTATATAACATAATAATTTAATGTACAACAAAATATTAATTATGACGACAATCTAAGAAAGGACAACCTAACACCACATTCAAACATACACTTCTTGTGGATACTGGGTTCGCTGGTATCAGAGAACTCAGAATGACAATGATAGAATAAGGTGATTGACATTGTCCAAGCTGGCGCTCGAACCAATCTAACTCACTACGTTTATGTAAAAATTTTGTAGTACACATTTCTGGCTAATGTTAATTATTATTATAAACAGAATAACTAAATCATCAATATTAATTTTGAAAGAAACAAATACAGTGCTGTCACTAAGATTTTGAGTTGCCAGGTACATATAACAAGTAGCCGGTTAATCAAACAACTAGGAATTTCTATAGGTTTAACTTTTCCTCAATTTTCGTATGAAAGTAGCTAGGGATCACATTTCTCATAGTGGGGGAAACCACTGACCCCCCCCCTCCTAGATGTCAATGACAGCCCTAAAAACAAACCCATGATTAAAATAGTACTTTCATTTTGATATGCCAATGAGACATTTATTTTCAAACATTGCTGTTTTGTCACACTGCCTCCCCATCCCTCCAAAATTAGAAGTTTACGGAAACTGGTTACTTGCATGTTTAGTCCATACATTTCTCCTTTTTGCATGTTTCAGTAATCTCCACACTTTTTTATGATAGAAAAAGCATGCTTTTATGTTGTTTTGCAAATTTCTTATTTATGAAACATAGGCTCCATACCTAGGATAGCACTCCTAATTTTCACAAACATAGACAGAATACTTTTCATATAATAACTAAAACACAAATCAATTTTCCACTTTTCTTTAGCGTAAATTAGACAGAGCATGAAAACTATGATAGTTGACATGTTTTGAAAACTTTCTTAATTCTTCACATGTATATACTTTAACCTTTTGTGGTAATTACTTTAATTTCCAGACATTTTGAAAATTTTTTTTAGAATGTGTTCCTCCATCAGTTTTGTCTCATCTTTCAAATATATTTCACATTTTAGGGAATTTATTGTGATCTTTTTACAGGCTAATTTTCCAAAATATTCTGTACAACTGCACCATTAATTCAGGGTGCAAAGCTTTGTCAGTTGAGTATTTTCTATACAGGAAACTACCAAAGTGTTTTTAGAAAACTTATCTAAGAATAGATCTTTTATATAAAATTGTGTCAAGTTAAAAATAATCTGCCTTTATTCAGTTAATATTACCAGTATTTTTTGGGTTCCCAACATCTTCAGGCCACATCAAAAGAAAAGACTTTTTACTTTAATACTGAGACACTAGATGATTAGAAAAATTCTCCAGCCATGTACACAGTTCTGAACAAAACACAATAATTCCATAATTTTTCCCCCAGAAAGGGTTGAATTAAACATTCTTTTTAAAATTCTCTCAAAATAACGATTCTACTGTTTTCTGAATTTTTTTTTGATCAGTGAAATTGAAGAGATCGCTCTTTTTTTATTAGTAACAAAAACTTGCGTAGATTTGACTAGTTTGCACTGGCTTTCCTTACCCTCTGTCAAAAACTAGCATTTTGAGTAGGCTTACTGAGAGGAATATTTCATTCTACAAAAGACCGGAAGCAACAAAATATGAAAATAATCAACTGATGCGTTCCATTTTCAATCAGTTTCCTTAACGAACTTGAAAGCTTTTGGTTTGTCTTACAATTATTCATGACCACTTGATGACAGCGAAAGATTGGTAATACAAGAAAAAATTTTCACCAATTCCACACACACGCATGAACAACAATACACTGTTTCCAGGACAAATAAGGCCCACAGTTATTCATCGTCAGTCATGTCTCGCATGAATAATCACCAAAAGAAAGTCTATTCAAAACAGGACCCGAAAATGGTCTGCCTTGCCACAAAAGCATACAAACAGGAGATAGCAAAAATGGAGTCTTTGACTAAAAATGGTGTTGTGACTAAATTTCTCGCGATGAGTCATCAAAAGTTCACTTTAAAGAATGAGCTCAACCATTAAGGTGAAATCAGCATGACCCTGAAACGGACAACACGAAATCAACCCCGTACGTTATTTGGGTCTTGCTGTTCATTCACAGTGCTTTGACCAAACGTGCCTTTGAAACTCGCTAGGGAAGAAATGAAGTCACGAACAATCACATCTCACGCACAGGAGCCATACAGATCATTCAAAGTAAATATCCCGCGAGTAAACTGATCAGTGCTCCAAGCGGAGATTACAAACCTATTTTTATGCAAATTACCCTTGAAAAACGTAACGCGCTAGGTGAAAACTTCCCGTCAAAGATTGGAAGTTACCGGCTTGACTAACAACAAGATTGTTTTAGGTTTTATTTGTTTGTACTATTCGAAAGCTCAGAGAAGACAACGGAAATCGCAAAATTCTAACTAGCCGTCTGTTGACTTATTGACCCAAATAAGCGGGCAAACAGTAACATAACCTAGCTACTTCAAATGCCAGCATGCAGTACAAACGGCAAGCAATCATTAGCGAAGTAACCTAGCGCCTTGCAGAGATTTCGCGTTGTTACCTGACCAAAAGCCAAAACGGCAAACTCTAAACGTTATATCTAAGTATTCAACAAATCTTAAAGAGACTTTCACTCATAACAAATAACTTAGTTTTGGAACAGTTGGCAAGGCTTTTGTATGTGCTTGATAAAATTCGAAAAGGATCAGACAGCTAGTTTAATATTATTAGACTCTATTTAAATTAAAATTCCTCGTCCCCGTTCTCTACACGCAATGGCTACAATTTTTTTCAAAATATGCGTCCATGTACAGCTAAAAGGTGCAAATGGACATTTTGAAGGTAACGAACAGAAACATTTTGAAGCCATCTTTTGCGGTAGGTTTAATTTTACTAGGCTTACCTATACAGTTGTGTACTCGAACAGAGAGGGCTGTTCGCAGAATTATTGTGTTTTTGCGGCTATAAAAGAAAACGAGTAATTAGTTTACGAGCAGAATAATAAAAAAAGCAAGCCTAATTCCTACAGAATAAAATAGTGGCTTTAGAGACACTTAAAGTTTCCATGGCATTAAGCTTGAGCTAAAATAAAAGCAAGCCTTCTCAAACCTGTCTAAAAATCCCTCCAACATGTCGGCTTGTTCCTCAAGCGAGCTTTCTAAGTCCAAGTAACATCCGTTATGCGACAGTTGCAAAGCTACATCATCGATCTATACCAACAAATGACCAGAATCATTAAAAACACATCGAACGAAAACACCTAACAACTCAAGAAAAATATTCCAAGCTCAGCTGAAGACGTAAACAACAAAATAAGCGGCGTACACTGTGAGGCGCTGATAACAATCGATGAAGGCCGGCGATTTGCTGGAAAAGTGGAATATTTAAGTGAAACGTATACGTCGGAGGCCGTGTTGGCTCAGGAAAATTTGTGCTGGCAAACGGATCCGTATCGTCCAAATACTGAACTTTACAAGTTAACGCCATTTTGACGGACGATTCTGAGGAGCTGGACGCATGCGTGTCTTTCGGTTCTTTCGAAGCTCCTCGCGGGGGTGTCATGTCACGTGACCGCAAATCTCGGCGGTTTGTAAAAGAGCGAGAATTGTTTTTAAAATCCATCATGTTGGGTCTAAAACCAGCTCAAGCATCTTCCAAGGACCCTAGTCGAGATCCCTTTCATATGAAACCATTTCTCTCGCTCTCAAACACGTGATTTCCCAATCAGATTTCTCCTTTATCGATAACTACTCTTTTCTTCCCTTGGCGTTGCGCTAAGTGACTGAAATTCGAGCCAGGTATTTACGATGTCACGATTTGAAGTCGACATGATTGCGCCAAGCAATTAATTTTCATTGGTCCGTCTTCCGCTACTCATTATAAATGGCCCGGACAAACATCAAACAGTCCTTATTTGTGACGTCAATTGTGCAAAAGCCCCAATATGTCGGAGATTTCCGTTGGCTCTCCCATCCGCCGATCGAATCCAAGAAAAATTCTTCAGTCAACAGAACTCGGTCTGATTCTACGTGCACAGATCACATAATACTACAAAACAGAAATTCAAGCAAAATCATTCGCCCGTGAATGTTGAAATTAGAGGAAATTTCTATTCCAGAAGACTTATTGATTTACCTAATCAAAAAAACAACACTTGCTATTTTGGACAATGTGGATTAATTATGCAAAAAATGTTAGGAATGTTAGGAACGTTTTGTCGGAACTGTGCATGGATAATGCCCTGCCATTTAACATTTGACTCGACTGCCCTGAAAATCTTCGCATCTAATAAAATGAAAAAATTAAAAATACTTACAGAAGAGCTTAGCTGTCACTGAAATTACCTTTCGACTTTGATTCTTTAATTTCGAGAAAAAAAAATAAAAAGAAAGAAAACAAGCATAAGGGGAATAAACTGAGGCACTATTTTTCAAAGAGCGCTTTATTTTTGAGCATGTTAGGAAATCATTTGGTTGATGGGGCCAGGCTAGCCACATAGCCAGTCTCCTGTCAGGTTCAGAGTGTTGGAGTAAAGAAACAGATTAAAATCATGTAAGTTCAAGATGTGAACTGGCCTGTTAGCGGAAGCGCTAAGAGTAAACGTCATGTTTTCCAAAACCAGGAACTGATGAACCAGTATGTAAATTATTTCTTCTCATCTCTTGCATGATTTATTATTCACATCTCTCTTGATAATGGAGTCATGAAGACCCCGAAACGTTGTGTTTTAATTCTTAATTTTTCTTCTTAGTTGCTTGTTTTACAAAACTCTGTTTATAAAATGATTGATTTTATACACAGAAAATTATATGCAAAACAGTATAAGACAACTCTGAACAAAGACTGAAAAAGTATCCTTTTTTATCTGTGTTACACGGCGTATCACATGAGTCTGGAATATTCAATGGCTATTCAGTATAACACGCTGGGCTATAAAACACCTATCAATGTCACACGCTCCTTAACTATTTGACCTTATAAACAATCCCTTTTATAGCTCATAAAGCTAAATATAGAGCAAAATCGCTCAACAAAGTGATTGATTATTTTTTCACTAGATTTGAGGGACAAATGCATCAAAGCAGGCCGGTATTTTTTGCTTTGTCACATTTATATTTTGCAAAAAATGAAATGTGATTGTACCGCGGCGCTGTCTAAAACCAATGGAAAGGTCTTTTGAAATAAGCACATAAATCAGCTAAATACTAATGAGGAGAACGTGAATAGTATTGGGTCGAAATTCTTAAACCTTCAAACAGAATGTGATGATGCGAAAAGAATGTTAATACCGTAAACGGCTCGAGTCTGTCTGACATGCAAAAATATAAATATCTAAAATTACCAGAAAAATTATGGCGACTTGGCAAACGAGATTCGAGAAAGTTCCTTGTTCTGAACTGTGAATTCCACGCGAACTTAAAACGTTCCTTTTACTATAGTGAGCTATCGCTTAGGCCAGTCATGGTTAGCCTTATTGCCAAGATTTTCCAGTGTTTCGCTTGATAATGTAATTTATAAACCGACAACGCTGGCGTACGTGCAAAACAGATTCATTTTATTTATAAACAGTGTTAACTAACATTTGCACTCCTTGACACTTGACTATTTTTAAGTACCGTTTCAAATCGCGTAAAATTTGCGGAAAAATATATTGTTATTTTTTTTTGCAAAAACAAACAAACAAAAAAAGAAAATTAACTGTCGTTATGATTAGCAGAGAAATAAGTAAGAGAAGAAAGGTGGTCCTATGCGATTACGATTTATGCGAAAGATTTCAACTTTTAAAGGCTATGAAATGAAAAAAATGACCGACATTCAAAATGCGGAAAAAACGCTAAAAAAGAATTGCGCTTAAAATGTAACGCAAAAAGAGAAAAACGCTGAAATTACTTTACAACAGGTAAATTTTGGTAAGATTAGCATAGGTAGTAAGATATTGCAAGACCTTCTTTGGTATAAACCAGGTATGAATTCAATATTGGCCTCATCAATACCGGTCCGTTGGTGCCAGTTAATTAAAAGGAAAGGTAAAGAAATGCAAGTTTTTTTCTCTCAAAGCTACAAACACGTCATCACATTCCAGAAAAGCTTAAACAGTAAATATTGGTCCCTTCAGTTATTTTCGAAATCTGCTCACCAAGAATAGCCTGCGAATACAACCGTTTCTCCTTGCTTCTCGCCGCTAAGGGCGTTTCGCCAGGAGGAAACCGGTCCGAGGCGGCGAGGAGCTAAGAGAAACGGCTGTGTTACACACTAGAGAAGGAAATTATTCGGAAGTGTTAATGATAACTTGAAAAGACTAAGCAGACCAAAAACCACCTCAGCAAAAATATCTCTACCTTGCTTTCAAGTTTCGCTGGGAAATTTATCATAACCGCTCTTTTTAGATGTATGGAATATTCCTGTGTTTGAATCTATTCATTTGAGGAAGCCACCGCCCCTTTACCAGAAGCTTTGACGTGTTTTATAAAGTCTTGTGTTTTTCTCTCTGACTGGTATTCATCAATGTAGTAACCCGTACCCGGACCTCCAGATCAAGCAAGTTGTGAAAAATTTGTTTCAAAAATAAGCAAAGTTTATGACCGAAAAGCAATGACAGAAGGCGAATCATGCAAATTAATTCGAATTTAGATGCTAATTTTTGCAATCAGTCAAGATTTTCAGCTTTTTCTTCACTAATACGAAGCTCAGCTCAGTTGATGTGGAAAGATGTTGTCTTTTGTACTACAAGGTACTGATCATCGTGTAACAGGTTCGAAGTATTGCCATGACGTGTACGGCAAGGAGGTGCACCTTTAATCAGTATATTTTTGTCGGGCACTGCTGAAGAAGAAACTATATCCCTCATACTAGCTAGACCGAACCGCCTACCAAGCCGTGAGATCTAACGTACCATCAACAGCACTCCGGCACCAACTTGACATCATATCTACTGCCGACACTGGTATTGGGTACGTTCAGGTAGACCTGCATGCTGCAACATAGTTGTTTTTTATTGGTCTTCCCGACAAATCATCATCAATAATAATCGTGCTTTCACTCAAACATAAAACGTGTACACAGATTTATGATTGTTCTACTGAATTTGCTAAATTTATTGTATGGGAGTGGACAGGCGTATCTGACCACAGATTAGATCTTGAAAAACTACTTGGGAAATCTGATTGATGACAGTTTCATTCCGTATTAAACTCTTATCGTTTCTATCAGGGTGGTCGACTGAATCACTGCGTAAATGAGCCACGTTAATCCAAGCGATTTACGTAAGCGATGAACTTGCTCTGGATATCATAATCCAAAACGTATTGCAGACAGAAAAACCATAAAAGATAAAAAGAGATAATTCTAACTATATATATTTGATAGTGAATGTACATTTTAAAAAAACCGCAATGGCGTCGTTTGGCTAGTACTTAAACACGCCTATTTCTACTCGCCTTTTTGGAGTTCCATTTACGGTTCAGGCCTGGGTTTGTCTGAAACTGCTTGTCTTCCGCTTAATGCAGCTTAAAATGAAGTTTTCTTTCCAATAGGCCCACAATAGTCAATCACAGAAAACTGATTCAGTATTATGTATCTTTACAGGCCTTACAGTGATGGAGCTATGTTTTAAAATTTTCATGCTTTATCAGTTATACATACATGCTTACATACACTGTTTACAGGTAGCCATTATGACACCTAAAGTAGGATCATGAGATTATCCTTATAATTTTATTAAGATCTCTCCTCACCGATAACCCATTCACCTCAGGAAAGGTTGGAAACACACCACCGGGGTCTACTTTCCCTGCTCTTTTCGAACAGTGGCGTGGGTTCGTCCCAAAAGATACAGATGAAGTGAAAGTGATGTGATATGGGGCCTATGTTTTTCCGTCCTAATCCGAGAAGACTAGAAAGTCTATCCGTTTACAGATGTTATTGCAAAGGCAGCACTGACCTTGAGTGTTGTTCCGGCAGGGGTTTGAACACGCAACCTTCCCACTCAGTAGACCGGCGCTCGGCAGGTATGCACGCTTACATGATCTTACATTGGGTGACTTGAGTGAAATGTTTACCAGCCAAGATAAGCACGTGAGCAAATCAATGACTTCAGTACAGCTTAATAAAAGCTTCATCAACTGGACAATAAATAGAATAGGAGAGTTTACAAATAGAACCCATTTTCATAGAACCCTCCTTACTGTACGCGTAGAAGAGGATATGGCGAATTACAAGACATTGAAATCTTTAAAATCATTGTAGATTAATCGAGGAAGAAAGTTCAGTATCAAACAAAAACGTTTTAACTCGACTTATTCGTTGGCGGGATTTCGCTGCCAGTGTTTCGCTTTAATGCTCTGGCAGGCGAGTTTCTGTTCAATCTGACGAGAGGGAGATCGAGCTATCAAGGGCAAGGAGAGTGGATACAAGAGAAGAACATGCAGTGAAAAAATTGATGATATATCCTGGTGGTGATATTAATGTTCGCCAGCGCGTCAATTCTCTGTATTGCTGCAATGGTGGACAAAAGTCCTCAGGGATATGATGTAAATCATGTGCTATTCGAGAATTGAAACTCTGCGAGAGATTAATTGTGGGTTTTGTATGTAGGAGGAAGGGAGGGGAGGGGCCGGACAAGTGTAGTTTTCTCGTGCATGAAAGGTACAAAAAACACAGGTGGGCTTTGGTCGGTCAGTGTTGTAGCAAACAATCTGCAAGTTTGCCTGTTTTCCTCTCGAGAAGCACGTAATATTTTTCTTCACAAGGGATTTCGTGAATGAATAAATGTATTTAGTCGTAGCGTGTCATTCTACAAAATTTGATCCATTTTCGTGCCTCAGCATGAAAATGATAGCGTGATTTGAAAATGGAGTTTTCTGCCGTTAATGACAGAAAACTTAACACAGGAACACGCACAGGTAAACTAATTTGTGATTGCGACAACAAAAGGAAAGATACAGTCCCGCTCGGCTGTAAGCCAGCTGTTTTTTACAGTGAACCAACAAGGAGCGAAATATATTGAATACAGAAGAACAAAGAACAAGCAATCTTCCGATTGAAACTTCGACGAGTTAACCACAATTACTACGCCCCCACAAGCGGAGATCGCAAAGACAAATTTATTTCCAAATAATAAATCAAATTACAAAACGCTCATTTTAGTCAATTTTCACTACCCAAGTGTTGAAATCTTCATTCATCACAAACGCAACCTTTTTGAACAATCTTGAAAAGGGACAGAGCGCCCTAAACTTCACGATCACGCGATCATTTGTTTTCCGTGCAAAAGATAGGAATTCCAGCGTTAAGTTCCGTATACAAGTAAAGTGGCTGTGTCATGGCGAGTTCCAAATTTTTTTGGTTGAAGCTGAGCTGGAATTTTATCCGAGTATCGTCAGCCATCTTTTCTTATATTATAAACTCTAAGATATCAAATGTGATTCTCAAATAAAAGTAAAAACTGAGCATGATCGCTTATTTTGGTTATTTTTTGGACAACACAGAGTTCAAAATGGAAAAAAGTTGGCCTGGCAATATTATTTTCAGGTGAAATCAGTTTGCATCCAAGCAGCAGGGGAAACTACTCACCCACCCCTCCCCTAACCCGACGTTAACACTAACCTTTCACATAAGGCTAAACCTAGAGGAGGGTAGGTGGGTAGCTTCTCAGAGACTCCCCAAGATTATAAGCAGTTGGTCGCATGTGCGACCAGAGTTTTAATTGAGTACCCAAAAAACTCAATCTATGCGATTGCACCACGCGATTAAAATTGAGTGCAACGTGGATCTTCTTAAAAGAGATATTTAGCCTCTGTTCAGTGAGGCAAGTAGCAAAATCTTGCAACCATCAAGTCAAAGACAAGCCGTTATCACAGCACGCTCCATTGCGCAAGCAACCAGTGGATGATACGGCTTCCCTCGCAAAGCGCATCTGGACTGGTGGTCACGCTAAGCATGGCAATTTGACTCTTATTATCCTCTTCCATCCAAACTCTTGAGTTCGTCACAAGTCCGTCGTCGGTTTACGTTTGAACTTGCGTGCAGACCGCTCGCAGGATCGATACCGAAAATGATTGCCATGAATTGTGAACTCGAACCCTCCAAGCTCAAACGTGAACACGCTATTGGCTTTGGGAATCACTGCAAAATAAAGACAACACCGACGATATGAATTAGCTGTGTCGTGTGAAAGCTAAAACATACAGAACAAAAAAAGAAGTACAAAGCAAACAAGGTTGCCTAAGCTTTGATGAAACGATAAAGAAAAACAAAAACAAAAAAAAGCAAAACCAACAACAACAAAAAACAAGAAGTTAGTTAATATCCAGCGGCATAAAGCCAACTCAGAGTAGTCCGCGATCTTCTATCCCATATGAAGAGCGGATCGCGCAGCGATCCCCAGACTGAGCCTTATAAAACATCGTACTGGTGTGTACAGTCCGCACCTGTCCGTCTAAGAGGGACAGCACTGGGTCAAGCACAAAGAAACAGTCTTACCCAACCTTCAAGAATCATTATTGCCCAGAAAGGGTCACCTTGCCATCGCTATAATCCTAGGTGGGGGTGTCGATCAGTTCACAGTTATTTACCAGAAATACTTTTATCGCAAAAACCTCGCGGAGCTGTAAAGGGCCAGCAATAACATTAAAGGGAAAACAAGTGATGAAAGAAAACTAAACAAAGAAAAAAGAAATCCCAGAGAGTTATTTTATTTGAAGCATTTTTCTGGGAAATTCTGCCGTGGCGAGTTGTCCGTCAAGAGTTGACTGTTTATACTCCTGTTAAGAAATGTCGAACACCTCATCCAGGAGGTAGTAATATACAGTAGTACCTCGATAACTAGAACTGGGATAACTCGAATTCCCCGCTAACTCGAACTAAATTTCCTCTCCCTTGATCAAAATTTCACTGAAATTTACCCCGATAACTCGAATTCTCCGCTAACTCGAACTGTTTTTCGTTTCCCTTCAGAGTTCGAGTTACCGGGGTTCTACTGTAGTAGAAGCAAATCATTACTTTATTTACATGACCGCAATATGTTAGAGTATTGCAGGAAGCATATCTGTGTAGTAGCAATACCTATGGCTGCATCATGCTGTAGAAGCCAAATTTTGTGATAAACGCTCTTCACTACAAAATCGCTAGAAACGTGTCGGGGAGTAGGCGCTCTCAGGGTTACGTCAAATAACGAGATACCTCTTGACTTAAACCGACAGGAAAAGCACTTCAGTTTCGATGTTGCAATAAATTCAAATAAACAAGAGAATGTCAAGAACGCTTGTTCTCGATCTTGTTGTTTACAAAAATTTGTAATATTTCCGGTATTCCTGATGCGTAGGACACGGTTTTCCCACGGTCGATTCAATGATGTCGACTGATGAAACAGTTTCAAAGTGCAGCTTGTTGAAAAAACAGTTTTATTTGTCAAGAACTAACTATGGCTTTCGATGACAAACATAATCTCAACGATTGTTATGGATATTATGATAGAAAATGTTTGTGTTTTGATTTTTATCCAAATCTTCCATTCACCCGCTACTCAAGAAATAATCCAATTCTCTAGAAAAAGAGTTAATTCTGATATCTTTTAGTTGCAAGTTCTTTCATTATATGAGTGATTTTATTACAGTTTGATAAAGAAAGGCTGAGCTAAATGGATGAAATGATAACTGAAGCGGCCATCAAAACCTGCTTAATATATCGTATTCGACGCAAGCTTGCCGGTTGGAATAAAGAGAAAAAGACAAAAAATCTAGATGTAGATAGGTGGCTGCTGTGAATGTATTTTGCAGTGTTCCCTTCTAAACTACACTCTACTTCTCTTAGTGCTTGTGTGTAGTTTTTCTTTTTTTTCCCCGTATATTCTTGCATTGTATTTTCTCACTTTTTCGTTTTTGCACTTGCTCGTTCAGCCTTGTCTGTTTTTATCCTATTTAACGATTATTTTTTTATGTTGTAGAGAAATCGCATTTTCTTAGCTTGTTGGACTTGCCGATGTCAGTATTTTATTTATTAATTAGGTACCGAGTACTTTTTTTAAAGATGGTCCTATTCAAAAGCCTTATTGCTTCCTTGGGATCTCTTGCCTCACCTTTTTTAAATTTTATGTATATATTTAACTTATATGGCAAAATGATAATAAAATAATAACAATAAAACAATAAAACGGTGGCTGCCTGCCAGTATGAAAGTTCTCTCCCTTATCGGGACATCCTCGAGTCAACAACAACAATCATTATTTTGTACTCACTACTGCTCAAAAATAAATTACGACAATGAAAATCATGATTACAAGTAAACATTAGAGTACTGGCTGCTTGGAATAGCCATGGGGGCTAGCGGAGCCAGGCAGAACTTCTGGCTTTACTCGGGACACCCTCGAGTCGGAAGCACCACTGGCTGGCCTTAGGACACCGACAAGACCAGCTCTCGCACGCTCCATGTCAGAGAGATCTCCATCTCGAATTACAGTCAAACCCCGCTTTACGGATACCCGCTTAATACGGACAATTTGCTCGGTCCCTAGGGAAAGAAAGCCCTTACATTCACTCTTAATTCAACTTGCTTAATAAGGACAATTTCTTTGGACCCCTCAATGTCTGTATTAACGGGAGATACGGCCCAGACCAACCTCGTCCCCAGGGCGCTAAGCCAGGGAAAAGCGCCCTGGGGACGAGGTTGGGCCCAGACCAGCTAAATAGGGACGTTATACTCGGTAACGTGTCCGGATTAATGGATCGTTCACATCCCAGATAAATGGTGTAACCGACACAATACACTCCATTTTAGCAATGAAACCTTAAACGTGGCATTGTCAAGACAGTGCCAAGTGGCTTAAGTGTTTCTGCACATTTGAGACTGAAGGACTATTCAAGGAAGTGGGATATGAGTGGGAGGAGGGGTGAATAAGGAAACCAAAATTTAGCGATATCCACTGCGTAGATAAAGTAAATTGACCACCGCAAAGGTCCGTATCAACAATAGATGACGTCTGGATTCTTTTTGAGGAAGGGTTAGCATTTGAATCACGTTTACCATCTACAGTTAAACCTCCATCAAGCGGCCAGTACTCTCGGGGTACCGGCAGGTGGCCGATTAATGGAGGTTGGCCCATCAATAGAGGCTCGTCATACCTTGCAGAACATAATTATAATCTTAAGCAGAAACTTCTCTTTATTTTAAGTCAAACACGCTACGGCAGTCAGTCGTCATCTTCTATCTCGGACTGTATTTTTCTTCTTCATATTCTTGAAACAAAGCGAAACTAAGTGTTTCAAGCGCTTGACGGCCGCTCAATAAAGGGGACAACAATAACATAGCTCTCGTTAGGATGGCCAAAAAGTGGCCGCGGCAGCTGATAGAGGTAGCAAACTTTATAGAGGTCTAAGTTTCCAATCTTTTCTACAATTATTTCGGGACTTTGGTAGACTTGATACAAGTCGACCTCACGAGTTTCTTGGCCAAGGAGTGACAAAGTCGCTAGAGGTCCGGCGCCACATTAAATCGGACGAAGGACTTTTTTGAAAGTCTAGGGCTTTGTTTACTGGCCGTTTAATAGAGGGTGGCCGCTTAGTGGAGGTTCAGCTTCATTTCACTTTTATCAACCGAGTTGAAAAACAAAACGAATTATTTTTCGAAATGGATGGCGTTTATTTGCTTCAAAGGAAAAGAACACAGAACACAGTGTAGTGCAAAAAGTCAACATTCAATTTAAATTCATTTAACCGCAGAAAACCCAGAAAGCAAATGTTACAAAGCAAAAGCACTGTCGAAGAGCCTTCGTTTGATAGATTGCAACATAGGATCTCCATTAGATTTACATAGAACAACAGCTTACATCACCGGAAGACTGGAAGTTAGGGTTAAAATACGTGAATACCACTAAAAGCGTAGGAGGTCAGCCGAATCCGTTTTGGCCACAAATGACATCACTATACAAGCTTGAGAGCTCTGAGTGCATGTTTGCGGACAAAAAAAGTTGCTTATGGGTCACTAATCTCTTGAAAACATAACCGCGATTAAGCTAAGAGGATTTCGACCTTAAACATAAAGCTGGAAAATCTCTCTGGAAAAAGGCATCCGTCTCGTGCATCAAAACAGGACGTGAAAGGAACAATTAGGTCATGCAGATTTACATTTTTGAGGCCGCCTTTGATATTCCAGCGCGTGGCTGGGATTAAAACCGACCAAACGTGACAGAATTTCAGAGCTGGTTGTTTATATTGTAGTAATTGACGTCAGCGTAGCTATTTGTGGCGAAAATAGAGCTAACGCAATCAACTGAACTCTCTCTCGGCCGGCATAGCCTGTTCCAGAGTTTAGATAGTGAGGCGCGCCCAACAAAAAGCAGCATAAAAACAGCAATAACAAAATCTGCTCCCCTTTTTTTTTTTTCTTTTACTCACTCCACTGTCTGAACGCCAGCAAGAGACTGGCAGCGTAAACATATTTCCTACTTATGCCCAGCTAAAAACGTCGAATTTTACATGTGCCGAACTTAATTCCTATTTTAGTCAACCATTTGATTCAACGTCGAATTTAACTCTCTGAACTCTGTCGAATTTAACTCTGTCAATATTCCCAGCAATATAATAATAATTGACTAAAATTCATGCATTAAGTTCGGCAAATGTGAAATGTGACGCTTCAATCAAAAGTCGAACCTAAGTCGATCTTCGACTGTTTCAGCCACAGATACGGCAAACCACGCATTTAATTTAAACAGTCGAATTTAATTGATTCAAACGTCGCACTTCACATGCATGTGAGATTCGACGTTTGAACCGGGCCTTAGAGCCAAAACTCACATTTGACTAGAACAGTCAAAGTTGGTGAGGAATATGATTATGGCAGCCCAGAACATTTACAATTATTTGCCGTGACAATTTTTTGAAAACACATTTAATCTCAACATGTATTTTTGAAACAAGCTCAGTCCGAATTGAAGATGATTCGGTGCCAACCTCGTCCCCAGGGCGCTATTCTCTGGGGACGAGGTTGATTCGTTGCTAGTGAGAAGCGAAGTTCAGACGGACTCCATATGACCAGCCTAAGGGTCCGTCTTGTAGAGAGTCCAAAAATAGCTCAAGAAGGACAAGGACCAGGCAAGGACCATCGTATGCTGAGGTTTCCCAGTTCAGTAGAGTATGTCATGCATGGTAGCTCGGACGCGAAAAAAAATGAAAGTTCGTTTGCTTTATGCGTTTAGATCTGGGATCTTCCCCCTTCCCCTGGGGGAGGAGGTACTCCTCTGTAAAAGTGACGGGGGTGCTCGTCGTACCTTTTAGGGGTTTAGATTTTTGGATCGGTACCGCTTAGGGTGCTAAAACCTAAAATGACTGATTAGGATAAAGATTTATGACAATAGTTTCAAAAAGTCCTTGAGAAGAAAGTGTTCGAAAGTTATCTTATTACCGATTGAAATTTGCAGTGCCAGTTATATAGTTTCTAATTGGTACCTCTTAGGGGTGAAAGTAAATTTGGGACACGCCCATAAAACAAGATTCTGGTACCTTTTAGGGGTGTTCTCGAAATTCTCCGCCGAGCAGCCCCGTCACTTTTATGGGCAGTACCCCCCCGGCATCTTCCCACCCTATGAGCAGCGCCTTCTTTTGTCTTTTTCTTTTGTGAGTAGGAGAAAAGAAGCAAACGATAGGACGGCTCGGCTGATGGCAGGGTGGGATCTATCAATCCCGTAGAGTGGGGGGGGGGGGGGATACTCCTGGGAATTCTTGGAAGGGGTTTGGCGCCCGGTTCTCCAAATCCTAACCCTATTTTAGACCAAAAAATGTCATTTTCCACATGACACCCGTTTTCAGACCACACCTTTAAAATCCATACCCGTTTTCAGACCTGGCCTTTACGCAGAAATTATGTCATCAATACTTAGATTAGAGCGCAAACAAAAAAAATCTTCAAATGCATTTCCAATGTGCATATTTCTATTTCCTTACGATAAATACGTTCACACACTCCCGTATACGTAGTTCCCTCAAAAACCATACCCGATTCCAGACCAAAATGGGCAAAGCGTATAACTGTTTTCAGACCAAAAAGGCCCCCAAACCCCACCCTTTGGGGCGGCACATACCTATATGGCTTATATAAGGAAGTACCGCCCCCCGGGCGTTCAATTAAACCAGCAGATTTCAAGTTCCGAGAGGATACTTTCAAGAGTCTACTTTCACACACATCGCGGCACAACTCGCGTCGATACTTACTTTTAAGTTTGTTATCTTTTGTTATGATTTTAAACGCGTTCTTTGTTTCTTGTAGTAAAATGCCACTTGTTCCCACGTAGGATGGACACTTTGATCGGCTTACTGCGATAAAGAAAGATAATAATTTGATTATTTGTGATAGCTTATAAAGTTAAGACCTCTCACGATCAACATACAGCCCACGCAGCCAAAGCTCAATATTGTTTTTTTTTTTGGTGGCTAACTCATCACTTTTATTGAAACAACAATCAGGGGTACCCAACGACTTTTTTCGGTAAACTTACTGTTCGAAGGAGCAAATATTGCCCAAAAATTTCTAAAGCGCAAGAAAGGCTAAAAAATTGTCTGCATAACCGTTCCACTCGTCTAAGATGTTCGGAGTTTTTCTATTGACTTACCTACGATTTTCAGAGGTTGTGTTTTTCACATTACCAAGATATTGCCAAAAGTCTCCTAACAATTTCAGTATAAAGACAAAGCGTTCTAGAGGTTTCTATTGAAAGTACGGCTAGTTCATGTCCTTGAACGTCCGACCGTACCCATAAGGACAGCTTAAGGTTTCGGAAAAGATGAAATAGCCACCAAAAAATTTTCGTGACCAGAAAAGTCCCCCTAAGACATCCGAACAGACAAATATTTTTTAGGACAGCCCCAAATTAACCAAACTGGGTTCTAGAGCATAGGGAAAACCATCTGAGACAATTCTGTCGTATCTGGAAAAAATTCGGTCATTGGGTGCCCCTGAATATTTTCCAATTTTATTTAGTACTATCAAATTCTGTTCAACTACTGAGGGGAATTAGACATGACATGTACTGTCCTATCAAACTGTCCAAAAATACTTAATCGGGGCTGTCCATGGCCAATCAGATTATATAATTTCTTACAGTCTTGATCAGTGTTGCTATTGGCAGGTCGTTTTCTTAAAATGTTTTTAAAAGACATCGGTATTGTTGCTGAAGAGCAACAAAGATCTTTGCAAAACTAAGTAAACTGTTAAGTAAAAAAAGTGATAAAATGTAGCCACTTTGCGAACGCCAGTTTACATCGAGAGAATTTGACCTCTGCTTGAAGGGGAAGACAAAGCGAACACAACCTCAAGCAGCACAGAAGTGAGTTCGGAAAACTTCAAAACATTCCCCGTACGCTGAAGTAGTTTTGGCCTCGCTACAATGGGATTTAAAGCTTCTATAGATAAGAACAAAGCTCCAAACAAGGAATGCACCACACTTCCGAAGCACTTGGTGTTTGCATACCAGAGCTACTCTCGTCTCAGTACCAGAGCACTGACAGGGTTGAGTGAACGTCCTTGCCTGCCTTTTATAGCGCTTCGCATTTACCACATAAACCTGGTTACCCCTCCCCTAAGCCAACATTTTGGCCTAAGTGAGGAGTAATTGTTAATGTTAGCTTAGGGGAGGGGTAGGGTAGGCAGTTTCCCAGAAACGTATGATGATCCACAGATCATTATACGTTTCTGGGAAACTACCCACCTATCCCTCCCCTAAGCCAACATTTTGCCCTCAGTGAGAATTAAGTGTTAATGTTGGCTTTGGGGAGGGGTAGGTGGGCAGTTTCCCAGAAATGTATAATGATCCTGTTGGGATCATTACAGCACTTTTGAAAGAAAGACTTTCGGAGTCAAACATATTTAATTTTCCAGCAGTGGTATATTAACAAAGAAAAGCAGAAAATGAACTTACTATTCAGGATACAGCCATGGTAATCAGCTCGAAGAAGCTTAGGATAGGCAGCTTTTAGATTACTAATGATAGAAACAGTGTCAGTAGCATTGTCTTTTCAAATCAGCTCCCTGTTAACCTCTAAACCCCTTAACCCCCCCCTAAAAGTAACTAACCAACATTCAATTTCTCCTTGAAGTCACACTGATCTTAATAAAATTTTAGGCTGTGAGAAGTGAAAATAAGTCTTGATGGATAAAATTCTCCTCGAGGAGATGTGGAGAATATGCATGTTGATTTTTGGGTTTAAAGAATTAAGGAAAGCCTGGTTTTCAAGAAACAATGGCAAACTGCACTGCAGTAAGACTTTGCTGTAAATAATAACCCAAATGAAAAGGAGTAACCATACACAAATGAGCAAGAGGATGAGGGAACCATGTCCATCAACTCCCTTTGGTTGGGATTTTAATAGTCTTAAAGTGTTTCAGTCTGATAACCTCATGTACATTTGCCCAAAAAATTCCACCATCCACCCCTACTTCCTTCAAAATGATTCACAGTTCTTGGGGGGAGAATTCTTATTTTGTGGGACCATAACCACCTTGTCAGTCAAAGGCTTAGCCAGCTTTTCGACTAGTTGTAGGCCAGCACGGTCCTCACCAACACTTTGACCTTGTATGCTTTTTAGCTCACCCCCAAAATGCATAATTTATAACAAGAGGCAGAGTGATCAAACCAAAAATTTGTAGGCTCAGGCCAACAGGTTAATAGGCTGGTTATGCCCCTGTCAGCATATTCAACCTCTGGTCAGCTAGCCATTGTTGTACGCCACGAGGGTTACTGTTTAGTACATGTAGTATGATATCTGACCTTACCTTTTTGGATGTAGATTAAGCATGCTCTGCATATAACCTTCCCATAACTTGTGAAGAGGAACATACATCTCATACCTTGAAATAGATTCAAACCCTTCAAATTAGTATAATATTAAAGAAAAGCAAGCAAAGCTATTAAAGCTTGATGCAGGTCTATGTATCCAACAAAAGCATGACAATCAATTTTATGACAAACAAAAGGGCTTCTCAATAAGAATTAACCAGTTGATAGTAATGTTTCCAAAGCCGTTTAAAAAATTTACAAACCCTCTTAATGTGCCAGTTGTGTAAATGTTCAGCAGGAATGGCATATATAAAAGTCAGTCACTCTGCAATGACTTGTGAGTTTTGCATCCTCTGAGCTCAACATTTTTAGGTTAGCACTCCATGTAAATTATGTAGTTTAGCCACCATTTTTTGTGTATGCTAGCCACTTGGCAGTAGCTTAAATTTCTTAGTTTAATGTTTTATTGCTTTGCAGAAGTGAATTATGTGAGTTGCCAGTCTGCTGATGGTTGATCACAATTTTTGAAAGTTTCCTCTTCAGTTATAAGTAACCAAAATGTTGGCATTTGGCTCAGGTGAGTATTATGTAAACCACTTGCTGCTATGCTGTGCGTAGTCACATTCAACAAATTCCAGATTTCCAAGAAAGTATACCATTGCATTGTGATTAGTGGAAATAAACAATGTTCCATGATATCAAAAAGATATCCAAAAAGGTAATATAGTCAAACCCCCATTAATACGGACATTGGGGGAGCCATAACAAGTGTCCATATTAACAGAGTGTTTGCATGCTGGTTAGATACCAGGGCCGAGTTGTTCAAAGCTGGGTTAAGATAACCCAGGGTCAGATCGAAATTTGAATTCAGATATAAAGCTTAAAAAGCAAATTCAGTTTAATTCTTTTTGTCAACAATTTGATGATTGGCTACTCTAAAAAGAATAGACAAAATTGTCCAAGAAAATGCTTTTGATGAAAAGAAAAAGAGACCCGGGTTAACATTTAACCCTGGGTTAGCGCTAATTGGCCTTCAAACAACTAGGCCCTGCTGGTTAGATACAGAGGAAGTGTAAGACATTTCCCCAAGGACAAAGATTGAAAAACTGTCCTTATTATATAGATACTGATGAAATACCAGGATTTTTCCTTTTACTAAAAAATCATATCTTCATCGCGCACAGTGAAGATACCATTTTATCTTTCATGTGTGAGGATATTGCTGTCGCCATGGTTACTAACATTAATTTTGACTTTTTGGAACAGAAAATATAAGTATTATCGTCTTTATTTCTCCTTTATAACTTTATATCCGAGTTTCATAACATTTTTGTGACAAGCATTTTGCAATAGGCGACCACTTTAATAAATTGCACTATTTTCCTGTTTCAAAAATGAATTAAAAATAGTTGTGTTTTATGTAGGAATTTCATCCATATCTATAAAATAAACAGAACATTACATGGCCGCTTGCGGATACGAATTTTATCTTCTCGTGCTGAAAGTATTTCTCACTCGTTTGCTTTGCTCACTCGTGAGAGATACTTTCAGCACTCGAAGATAAAATTCGTATCCCCGCGCAGCCATGTAATATCCTCCATATAATAATGACTGTATGAGATAGACAGAGGAGAGGAGAGATCCCTTTGACCATCTGAGAATCAGGCTAGTCTACAGGAAGCATAAATTAAACTGAATCCTTACCTTTGACCTTTAGGTGATATGTTGTAAATCCCATGAATCCTTTTCTCTCTCGCAGACATTTCTTTTTTCTTGGGTTTTTTGCTTCGCTGTGCTGTTTGAAATCCCTCCAAGATAACAGGCTTATGGCGCAGTCTTTGTTCTACGTCTTCACTGTTTTTTTTCACAACATTGTTTAAAAATGAAGTAACAAATCTCTTTGCAGAGTGCTGCAGTGGCTAAAATCAAATAAGATATTCATACAAAAGTATTACCAGTCTTGTAATGAAAAAAGTTCAAATGAAAAAACTTTGATTTTTAAATACCGGTATACAACTTGGTATCCTGATCTCTCAAACCTCCTGATAATAAGTACAAAAACCCAATAATTTCCCTTCGATAGTCAAGATAAAGGCACAAATCAGCTATGAGATTCACAAGCGTGAGCTCTCCCTGGTTTTGCGGTTTTGCAGCATTAAGTACAGAGGGGTATTGCTACTCCCTGCTGAATTGGATAGCAGTCTATTAACTTACAGGGTTACCCTCTATGATACGTTGCACCAAAGCCACCATTAATACACCTGGGTGAGGAGAAACAAAGTGGAACAAAGTTTCTTGTCAAAACCGTGATGGTTGGGTATGAACCTGGTGAATCTTCCCCTAGTCAACACTGTTATTTTACCCAGCCTGATATTTTGAGCCTCATAATATATTTCACACTAATCTTCTCCGCTTTTCACTGCAATTTAAAAATCACGCATTTACTGCATCTCATTTCTAAGGAGATAATAGAAACTTATTAACCTTTTCCCTTTTATGAAGTCAACAATTTTAGCAAATTTTATTTCAGGAAAATTAATTGTGGAAGAACAAAATAGTACAGTTGGAGAGATTTTATTTGAATGGTCACATAATTATTATAGGATTTCATTCAAAGTCTCAGAACTTCAAACCACTTTACAAGACTCCACCATGCAGTCTAGGAGTAAAATGGTTAAAGTAAACAATATACAATTGAGTAATATCAGGAACATAGTATTTTGTGTAGATTAGTAGAGAAGTTACCTGAAGTCCCATTTGTCCTAAACTGTATCTTACACTTCCATGAAGGTCAGAATACAGTGACCCTATTAAAAAAACATAAAAAAGTAAGGCCAAGCAAAAGATAAACAAAAAGAAATGCTTCTTGTCCCTGCCTGATAAATGTTTTGGGGCCATCACTTTTTTAAAATTATTTGTTGTTGGAAAAGCTGGAACAAACAAAAGCCAACAGACGTTACTATCAGCACCACTAATTCTACAATTCTATGTAACAGCCCTTACTTTTCATAAAACGGAACATTTACTAAATACTGAGTCCTACATTGACATTTTTTAATGCACCCTACCTATTGTGATATAATGTATGACGCATTTTGTTGTTTAAAACATGAATCAAAATAAACCAAATTTGAGTTTAATCATCATGACTAGACACATATAAACTGCATGGGCTCGGGCGTCCGTACAAAAAAATTCATATGAAAAAACTTAATCTAGGAAATCACAGTCTTCAAGCAGGGTTTTCAAAAGTAGCCGGCTGCCGCCGAAAATTGCTGCCTACTTGGTTAGTATCGGCTGGCTACTCTGCTTGGCATTTCTTTATGGGTGGCCTTTTTTAAATAAAATATCCCTGGACTGGCAGCTTACTTTCACAACTCAGCCATCTACTTCAAAACTTTCTGACAACCCGTTTCAAAGGCAACGTAAATTGAAATAACAAGAGTCTATATACATAAACATCTGGAAACATATGAATGACTAAAGTATTAGATTGCAATAATTGTATGATAGAGGTCACAAAAACAAAGGAAGATAAAACCCATGACATCAAAGCAAAGAGCAAGAATATTACGTTACACAAAAGCTAATTGAGAAGTACTCAATTCATTTCTGTTTCTCCTTCTGCAAGGCAACTATTAGCTTATATGGAGGCATTCCCAATATCTAAGACAAGACTCCTGAGTTGATGAGAAAGACTCTGTTCAAATTCTGTTGGTAGCTCATTACTCTGAGAAGGCTTCTTGATAAGGTTCACTCAGAAGAGTTATTCAGTCACTGATTGAACTGAACTGTTTGCTTTCCATCTTTTACTGTCGGTCTAGAGATGAGTGTACATTTGGTATAAAGTTTTTACGAATAAGCAGGGCTTCTGATATTTTGTGGAAAAAAAAATTTTTCAGGGGCAAATTCACGGAAAAATCGGCCGATTTCGCGGGATTATCGCTGGAGAAAAGTCAAAATTTGCAGAAAAATCGGCCGATTTCGCGGGATTTTAGCGGAAAAAAGTCAAATTTCGAAGGATTTTCAGGGGTAAATTCTTAGGAAAATCGGCCGATTTCACGGGAAATTTCAGGGGGAAACTTTGCCAAGGAACAATCAGTGAAAAACAGCCGATTTCGCTGGATTTTTTTTGGCAAATTTCGCTAAAATTGATCAATTTTGCGTCGATATGACCAGCGCTGTTTAACGTTTTTTTAACAGGGATAATCATTTGCTCTTTCAACAACAGTTCGCTCGAGAAATGAGAGAATGCTAATAAAGCTGTTAACATTATGGTTAGTGCCCAGTTTTTCGCAACGTTCATCTATGGAAGCCTGGTAGTTTTGGGACGTTGTTTACTCGTTGCAGTGATGAAGTTTCAAGATAAATTTGGATGTTTGGGGTGAATAGAACAGGTCTAATAACCAAGATAAGTATTAAATGTTTTGCCGACATGTATTTGGAAATATTTCTGGCGTATTTCGCGTTTTTTTTGGAATTTCGCGGGATTTCGCGGAAATACCTGAATTTCGCGGGTCTGCGGCTGCGCGAAATATCAGAAGCCCTGAATAAGTAATGACAGAATTTATTCCTGCGACCACTGAGATTATACACCGAATACAAATGGCTTTGCTCACTGTTTCTCAGGCAGCCATGTGTTCTACGCTCTCTACACATACTCATATCTTGCACGGGTGCTGTATGCACCAGAGGGTGATTTGTGCCAGAAGGAGAAACTAAGCCCATTTTAAAGCTCGGTCATTCCCATGGAAATGCCTGAGCAATAATAATAACAATAATTATTATTTAACATTTCATTGCTTAACATTTGGCCAAAAATCTCCAAATTATCCCTGGGGGAGAGTTATAATAATTTGTAAAGATAGCATTCAAATTGCAATAATAATAAAAAATCAGAAATAATAAAAAAGATTGCCCGCTAGCTCTCTCTTTTTTTGTTACAGAAATCCAGACAAGAAACATTGAAAATTTATTTTGTTTGGTTGTTTTTTTACCTGGCCTAATGTGTTGCAAATGCATCACGTGTATATGTTGTGGTTCAAATTTTTCCTTGGTTTAAATTATATTTTCCTTTGTTTTTGCGTATGATAATGTACGATAATGATTTTGAAACAAAAGAAATTAAAATTTAAACCAAGGATAAATTTGAACCACAACATATATGCATTGTATACCGGTGTCACATTATTGCGCAGCTAAAAATAACAATAAAAAGGGTATATCAAACAAGTTGGCAAACATTCAATGCTGCTCTCTCTGATTCTGGTGATCCAATAATCATGAATAATAACAGGACTGAGAGAATAGTTGCTCTACTTTAGTCATTACATGGTAACCAGTCAAGTCACTCAAAAGTCATCTTACCCAAAGTTATGTCACCTGAAACCAGTGTCACGTTGCCCAAAATTTTTACTCAAGTCGCCCAAAATTTTATTAAAGAGTATACATAATAAATCTTGTTCTTTAAGCAATAATGAAACAAAACAAGTGGGATAATAATTTAGTCTCGTTCTTTAAGCAATGATGCTATGGTAAGACGAAACCAGCAGGATGAAGGTGTATCATAAACTGTTCTTTATGAGATGAAGAGATGAAACAAGGAAGATGAATGTGTAACATATGTTGATCTTTTAGCCTTGATGAAACGAAGCAAGCGCGTCAAATGAGCAATATATCTTGATGTAACAAAACATGTTAGGATGTTGCCGAACATGATAAATTTTCGGGCAAGATAACTCTGGTTTCAAGCAACATAACTTTGGGTGAGATGACTTTCGGGCGACTTGACCATAAACCCATATACATGCCAACTCTCCCAGATTATGCAGGAGTCTCCCAGATATGAACCGATCTCCTGGTCTCCCGTAAGGGTCACCATATCTCCCAGATAAAATCGAGTTATGAGCTTTTCTGTACTTTAATAGAATTTATACCATTTTCTTCCAAAATTCAAATTTTCTTTGATTCATAATTCGATGTCTGGGGTATTTTTGTACGTATTTCATCACTGACAAAGACTATTTCTACAATCATGTCTATACTTCATGGAAGACTGTAAACCGAGCACATGATAATACATTCATGAAATCCATGTCTTCTTTGTAAGGACTGCAGAATACGCAGTCATTTTGCCACTTGAATTAAACAGATATTCTATGACTACAGAACAACAGGCCTCGGAAGTGGAGTAAAGAAACACTATTTAAAATGGCCTAGGTTTTAAAGTATAAAGTTGATTGGTTCGTAAAGCAGCACGTCACAAATTGATCAACGGCCTTTTTGCATCTGATTATTGAAAGAAATGCTCGCACATTTAAGAAAGATGCTCCCATATAACGGTACCTATACCCTCTAGATTTTTACGCAAACTAGAGGAAGATACATTAATGATTGAGGTATATACTGGTTTGTTTTTCTAACCTTCTACAACTCTGCTCGAATTCACGTCGCGCTCGTCCTGCTCGTCCGCCATATTTGACTCGTCTACTCGTCTCGACCCAGACTTCGACCTGAATCATTGGCACAGGACACCCATGTAAACACCCATGCGCAAACGTTAAGCGTCTCGATCCCAGTGCTTTTCTCATGCCAGTATTCCTTAGCTTTGATGCTTACTTTTCAATAGAACCAGACCAAATTCAACAATAAAGCACACACTACTAACTCCGTGGTGTTATGGCCAGTCCTGCCAGTAGCTACTCCATGCGCACAGCTATATCACCCGGGCAGTGACTAAGCTATGTCGTCTTCATAAGGCCCGGGCGGGGGGGGGGGGGGGGGGAAGGGAAGGGGGCGGTACTCCCTTATTACATAAGCCATATATATAGGGTATGTGCTGATGGTACCGATAACCAGGTGTTCCTACTTTACAAAGCCACAGAGGGAATGGCTCTGAAACCAGCTCTGAGATATGTGCCATGTATCCACAGAATTCAGCGTAGGATTAGTGGACCCGAATCTTTTTTCCTTCGTAGACTTTCAAAAGGTTAATCAGATGACTGAAGAGGAATTGATAAAACCGCTCAATCATTAAATTTTGTCACAAGCACAGGAGTTCCGAGTTAGAAGTATGGACCGTTAAGTTTCGTTTCCTGTAGGCTGCTATTACAGATCGGGCAATGGAGGAGCACCACGGGTGATAAAGACAGCAGCAAGGTCTGCAGCTATGCAGACAATAGAGAAGTTAAGATCGTGTACCAATTCGGATACCAACTGACCGGAAGTTGGTTACGCGCATGCGTCGTCAGCCTGTGACATCCCTATAGGTGGTCAAGACTACGGAAGTCGCCTCCATATTGGAACTCTTCACCCCCGACTCCAGGTCTTCTTGCTAAGGGTTAGATGGAAGGCCGTTTTGTTTAAAAACACAGCATACATTTATTCTTTAAACATTTTACGAACAAGAAGTGATTTTGAAAAGCATTTAACTATAAAAAATTGCGATAAAACATTTCTTAAAATCATTTTAAGATTAAAAAATTGCTAAAAACGACGACGTTTCGACGTTAGCTGAACGTCATTATCAAGTCAAAATAAGTTAGTGATTTTTTGGTCTATAAATACTAAAAAACAACAATAGCTGATTAAAAAGAAAAATTGTAACGTGAGAAAATATTAAACAAAGAGTTTCGCACGTATGGAGTCCGTCTGAATATTTAAATTGGGCTTAAGCTTCTTGATGAAGAGCATTTCAAATACTAAACAATCAAATTTGCTCTGGCACTTTCTTAAAACTGTGAATTGGCTTTCTCTCAAAAGGTTGTTGTTACCGTGAGCTTCTAAGCTTAAACATTTTAATCGATATAATGCTTCTGAATTGTCTTTTAAACGGGACTGAATGTGTGGTTTCTTGTGAAGAATGCAAAGAAGAGGGAATTGTCTGCTAAACGGGTAGAAAACTAATCTTAGCGGAAGTACTCTTACGAAATACATGACGAATTGAACAATTATTTGTAAATCAGGAAGGCAACCGAAGACTGTGCTGAAAATGCAAATTGCTCGATCACGCGAAACCTTCCTCCTCCAAATATAATAGATGCTCGGCATTCTTGATAGAAAAAATATTGAGCTTCAGTGCTGAAGGAAAGTTTAACTAATAATCAAAAACAACAACCACGAAACGTAAAATTTGTGAGAACTAATAGTTTAATTAATCTTATGTTCTTAGATGTTACACTCAGCTGTGGAAGAAAGGGGAGGCGGATAGGGTGGGAGAAAAGCGCGAAAGCGGGGAAAACTAACAACCCATTATTCTTGTTGTTATGTATCGGTCAAATCGAAGCTTCAACATGCCCCCCCCGGGCATACCCCGGGCATTTGACACTTTTGCCGTCCCGGGGAGGAGGAAATTTGATTATCAGAGTCTTCCAGGGGGTGGGGAATTTGATCCCCATGCTTTAGGGGTGGGGAATTTGAACTGCACCCTTGATTTCATGTAAAATCTTTGGCGTGGCGAGCTACGGGCCGGGGGACGCGGTGTTAGAGGATTTTCGTGGAAAAGATTGTGCCTTTGTGGCCAATTGGTTGCGAGGAAAGGGCTTAAAATTTTTAATATTGGATTCAGGCTTTGAATGTATGAATGTATTTTATTGTTGTGTTTACAATGAAATACAATACCTATACCGGCGATTCAATGCAACAACATAAAATAAAATAAAATAAAAAGCTCGGGTCAACTACTTTGACCTACTGCAAGTATGTTAATTAATAAGGTGAACGATGATGCATGTCAGTGAAATGGTCATGATGTAGAAATCTTAATAGGTGGGATCTTTTTTTATAGAACGCTTTGTATGTTGCATGACGAAGAAAAGCTGAGCATTCAGTGACCTTGTAACAGCGATTTCCGCCGCTTTGCACGAGATGTTTGTTCGTAGTAAATACGCTAACAGTGTCTCTCAGTTTTTGTTATATTTATTAATATTTTGTTCAACAACTGAAGGTGTTTCCGCCGTCCTTCTGTCATTTTTGTGCCTGTGAAATGTCCCCCGGGTGGGGTCATTTGATCACCTGAATGGACCCTAGTGTGGAGCATTTGAACGGCATTTTGGCCCGGGTAGGGGGGAATTTGAACAATAATTTATATTTTTTGTCAAAAAATGGAACTTAGGACGTATTTTGTCTATTTTCATACATTCTCTTATAAATACAAAGTCTAACGCCACAGTCTGGGCCGCCTGTGGGTTATTTTCATTACCTTTAATTCCTTGGTAATCACTTGCTGTGCAGACTGATTGCCTAAAGTGCTCAAAATGTCGCTAAATAGACTAAATAGCCTGAGTAGGGAGCCGGCGTTTTGAACAAAAACAAAACAATGGCAACTTCTTTATTAACAAATAGTTTTTTGTGATGTGTTTGAGACTGAGGAAGAAGTTGTTAAATGAATTATGTTCTTCCAGAAAAAAAAACTAAGTAGTCACGATTTTAGAGAATGAGATCATTTTAAATGAATGTAAAACCTAACTGTTGTTTCTTTGTGAAAAACATACGACGCTTTCGTGAATTTAAGTTTTGTAAACAAAGGTTTTTTTTAATATAAATTTAAATCCGAAAATTAATGTGAAATTAGACTGTTCACAGTCCTCTATGTTTCCGTAAGATCATCGAGATCGAGAGCTTTGCGTTACGGGCTGCCATCTTACATGAGTGTCAAAACTACTTAGGGGGCGGGGACGGATTGGGAGGAAGCGAGAAAAATAGAGGGACTGTAATAACATCATTACAAATATCTCCTTTCGAAACAGTGATTTTATAATGTTTCTGGGCCATTCCTCGAAATAAAATCGGCAAACATGCACAAGAAAACATTTTCCTAATCAAAATACTAAAAATCCTTCGTGTGTTTGCGCCAGATGTGCCTTATGGTACGAAAGCGTACGTTTCATGGAAACGTCGACTTGTCAACGACTTGTCAATGTCGGCAACATAAACTAAACCCGTTGTCAACATCTATTGTCTAATGACCAATCAAACGCCTGCGTTGCTGGTACAACGCGCTCCGTGAACGCGAGCTGCAGTGATGTTATTACAGTCCCTCTATTTTTCTCGCCCCCCACCCCCCTCCCGAGCTATAACCCCCGACGCCCGCCCCCGCGGTACATTTAAAAATCAAGATAGCCGTGACGGTAAGACGCAGTATATCTAAACGATCTCACGAAAAAATAGGGGACTGTGAACAGTCTAATGTGAAATTAAAGGTAGAATGCAAGTTTATCGGTGTGAACTAAAACAATTAGGCTATATACACACTATATCGGATAGCGCATGCGTCGGCAAGATGAGCCACACAGGATAGGGCTTCTATTCACACACAGGCGGGAACTGGGTGATTTCGGCGCGATTTCTGTAACAGAGTGAAGCTGCGTGGCCCCGAATCTGGAGACTCATGAAGCCCCATTTACACTACACAAAAAAATGGGTCCGGACCTATTAAAAAGTGGTCCGGACCAATTTTTTTTAACTGTTTACACGGATAACAATCAGGTTAGGCTTATGACTGAAAAGAGCCCTAATGCACACTGTTTACACTGCTGACTTTCGGTGTCCGGACCAGATTTTTATTTGAGCCTTCGGTATCTTTCCTTATCGCTCAGTGGTAAATACACAAAAGGGTGCGCGAAGGAAAGAAACATGGCTGCCATTATGGCTGCCACTCTTTTACCATTTCCTTTTAGGAGGAGAGTGACTCCCTTTTCAGGGGAAAACTCCGCAGAAACATTGAACCGTTTTAGAAGAAAACGGAGAAGGAAAATTTTTAAGTGGTCAATTCTTTTAATGGCCATCATAATGAGTCAATGCACTATCGAGAGAACCATATGGCAGCTTCCTAGAACAGGTGCTTGGTTTCAGCTTGCATTGAACGAGTTTTCAGACCAAGAATGGTACGAAAACTTTCGCTTGTCCAGGGCGACATTTCGATTTCTTGTTGAAGAACTTAAACCAGAACTGACATTGCAAGATACAAAGATGAGGAAGGCTGTTGAAGTAGAAAAGAAAGTGGCTCTGTTCTTGTACTTCATTGCTTCAACCGCAAGTTATAGAACGCTTTCTAACCTGTTTGGTTTATCCAGGGGTTTTGTTTGCATTTGCATCCGCAAGGTAGCCGCTGCAGTGTTGAGAAAACTTAAGCCAAAGTATATGTCAATTGCTAAAGGAGATGAACTTACTCGCGTGATAGCTAATTATAAGGAGAAATGGGGGTTTCCCATGTGTGCTGGAGCAATCGATGGCACACATATACCAATTTCAACACCACAGCAAAATCATGCAAGTTACATCAACAGAAAATCTTACCACAGCATTGTGATGCAAGCTCTTGTTGACAGTAGTTACCTATTCCGTGATATTGTTGTAGGGTGGCCAGGAAGTGTACATGATGCAAGGGTCTTTTCGAACTCACAGCTGTACGCTCTGGGGTGTAGTGGGAGGTTATTTCCACCAGATGTGAAAGAGGAAATTTTGGGGCAGGAAATTCATCCTGTTATCTTGGGAGATCCAGCCTACCCCATGTTAAATTGGCTACTTAAAGGTTACCCAGAGAATGTTAATACCCCCAGGATTCAGAGGCGTTTTAATTATCGTCTCAGTAGAGCCAGGATGACAGTTGAGAATACCTTCGGACGCTGGAAAGGAAGGTTTCCAAGATTCTCTAAGCGCCTGGATATGGAGGTTGATGGAGCAGTCGAGGTAGTAGCAGCTGCTTGTGTGATTCATAACATCTGTGAGATGAGAAAGGAACCATATTTTGTAGAGTGGTTACAAGAAGGTTTTGAACAGCCCGAGGAGGAGGTAATCCAGGATGGACCAATTGACGAACTGCCTGGATCTGATGTAAGAGACACTCTTGCTGCTTTTTTTATGTCACCCGAAGGCCAAAACTTGGAATTGGAGTAGACTTCCAGCTATTGTCATTGCACTTTTAAAAATTAACTAAACAACAGCTAACTGTTGTTGTTTTTATTTAACTGGAGATCAGTGACATATCTTCATGTTACTATGTTAGAAGAGACCCAACTATTTGTAAATGTTACCAATGATGGTCACCATAAAAGAAATGTTGTGTTAACACTAAACAACGGCTGAACTGTTGTTGTTGTTTTGTTTTTGCCTGTTGGAAGAGACTTAAATAAAATGTTACCAACAATGGTCACCACAAAAAAGCATTGCGTTATATTTATTTCATGAGGTAATGAAATATTACAGAAATAGAACCTGTCTAGTTTAGTTTTGCAAGATACTCATAATGCTTGTTTGTTTTAATTTACAACAATCAATCCACCCATTGAATTTCAAAACAATAAACAGCTCTTTGGTTGTTCCCAGGTAACTCAACGAATAAATGCTTAATTTAAAAAAAAATATATAATAAAAACAACAACTATTCTTGTTTTTGTTGCTTGTGAACAGACTCTTTAGTGGTGAGTGGGATGCAGGGCAATCAGCACTGACAAAGCTGTTCACCAATGCTTCTAGTGACTGGCCATCTCCCACTAACGAGCTAATTCACAGGTTGACGTGCTTCAGTGATAACTAAAGTAAACAATGGTAACTTTACTGCCCCCTCTTGGGATGTTATCTTTCTTCATCTGGAGTTTGGACTCAAGTTTACAAAGGGTAATAAGTTTGTCTATCAAAAGAATATTCAGATTCCGGCTGCCCTGGAGTTGTCCATTGAGAGTTACAGCCTCTCATTTGCATCATCATTTGAAGGACATGTAGTTCATGCTCTCTTTCTTCTCTTCTCATTTCAAGTCGAAATTTTAACTCCCTCTCATGCCTCTTCTCTTCCATTTCTTCAAATCTGTGAAGGGTGCCAGAAAACAGTAAAAAAAAACTTGATACAGCAAGAGTCTAAAAAACAACAACAATGAACATCATTTTCATTTTTTTCATCATCATCACCATCATCATGATCATAATTACTGCCATTATGATTGTTTTAACAGTCACAACATTTTCTTTTTTATCTTCCGAAAATACCAGGGTTTTCTTATCCCCTTGTATTCTGACTACACATTTTTAATTAGCACACAGTCTCCAAATTAATTCTTGCTAAAACATTTTAAAAACCTTGAAACTAATTAAGAAGCTGTATTTACCTCTTCATCTCAGCTTCTGAGGATTCACGGAGACTCAAACACACTGTTTCAATTGACTTCTCCACTTTTGTTTTCTTGGAACTTTTTGGTGTGGCACCTGTGATGCACTTAGATCTCTTCCTTTCAGAACTACTAGAATCAGTGTCTGAGACTACATCACTTTCTTTCTCAGAATGCAGTTCTGAGCTATTTTCTGAGGTTTCTGTTCCTGCCAAAAAGTCAATTATAACAGTAAATGAGTATGTTGCAGTTAATTTTTGTTTTCAGTTAAATTTTTATTTTTCCATGTTTAAAACTCGTTATCATACATCACATACCTAAAAACAAAGGAAAAATAAACTTTAACTGCAGAAACAAAAAATTAACTGCCACATGTACATGCACCACACAGTTTGAAAAACTCCAGTTAACTCTCATTCCCATCCTCATTATTTTTTTTAACTGGCAGGTTATCTAGTAAACATACACGGAATATATTCATTTGGTGTATGATTTGAAAAATAACAGAGCTTATTTAAATAAAATGCACAAAACATATTTTGATTGTTAATCTAAAAACACAACAGCAACAAGAACAAACACTCTACCATTTTCTAGAGAGCTTCCATTGTAGACTTCACGATTGTGATCACTGGAGCTGCTATACCACAGATGCGGTGGGTCAATAGTTGGGTTATCTTTAAAAATTGTGTCCATTTTTTCCATGAACTTCCAGGGCTTCTTGGGTCTCGAATTTCCGCTCTTCTTGGCACTATCCTTCACATCTTTATATTTTGCACGTAGTTTTTTCAATTTGTCCGTAATTGCCGTGACAGTTTTCATCATTCCTTTTTGAAACAACCAGAAAAACGAAATAGCATTAGAGCGAAATGAAACACAGTGACCTGATAAAAACTGTCAGAAGGAAGGATTTTACCATAAAAACTTACCGTGCTGTTCTAACTTCTTCTGAACTTCCAGGTACACTGCATTTTTGTCTTTCGGGCATTTTGCTTTCTCTAGCCCTATTTGAATGGTCTCTTCGGCAAAAACGTCTAATAGTAGGCCAACTTCTTCATCAGTCCACACGATCGTTTTCGTTTTCTGCGTTTTTGACACCATCGACGCCATCGTAGAAAAATAGAGGAATAGTGCACATGCGCCGAAACCACCGTAAAAACACGGCAGGCTCACATGAAAAAGAGGGTACGGATAGTACGGAACGAAGATGCGTTCACACAGCGCTCGATCAGGAAAAGGGTCCGACTGTTTTTTTGGTTTTAGGGCCATAGCCGCCTATGGCCCCAAAACCAGAAAAAAAGCGAGTCCGGACCCATTTCAAAAAACATGGTACGGAAGGTTTACACGGCAAAAATATCTGGTCCGTACCAACTTTTTTATGGGTCCGGACCCATTTTTTTGTGTAGTGTAAATGGGGCTTCACATATCGGATGGGTTTTCATACTATGGCGGTATAGTGAACTCCCATAGCCTAAGAGTCAAATAGTCCACTTTGCACTGCGCAACTTGTGGGCGAATTATCCATAGACAACGAGAACTCGTAGCTGGTTAGTTTGCAATTACTACGATCTAGTGCTTTAGCCAAATACTTTACTCCTTGATCGGTTATATTACTTCCTTGACAGACTACACTGTTTAGTTTGCAGTCACTGTGCTTTAGTGCTTGAGCCAAATACTTTACTCCTTGGTCGGTTATACTGTTTTCAGAGAGGACTAATCTCTCTAGGCTGCAATTACTATGCTTCAGTGCGTTAGCCAAATACTTTACTCCTTCATCTGTTACACTGTTGTTACGAGTAAGGTTTAAGCTTTTAAGTTTGCAATTACTGTCTGTTAGTGCTTCAGCCAAACACTTTACTCCTTCATCGCTTATATCGTTCTCGATGAGGTTTAAGCTATTTAATTTGCAGTTACTACCACTATCACCCCTAGTTAACAACTTGCATATTTCTTTACACCCGAGGGAGCCAATATTGTTATCTTTTAAATCAATCATTAAAATTTCATCATGCATTTTAACAAAATTGACTATTGAAGTACAATCAGCAGGTCCTAACTTACAGCTCCTCAACACTAAAGCATTAAAACCAATCTCTCTTATTTTTTTTTGTACAGCTGAATCCCTTGCATCGATCTCATATAAACAGTGACATAACGACATCGCTAAATGTTTGTCTTTCTTACTTGGCCAGCAGGTTACCATGCCGGACTTGTCTGTCGACATTGGCAGAAGGTTAATGAAAATATCGGTCAGTTGTTCATCTCGGTCACTGAGAAGCCCAGCTACAAACTGCAACACTACTTCCCACTGACCATCCTCGATGTGACTTGAAACAAATTTTCGCAATTCCTCCTTATTCATTGTATCTGTGATATGTTTCGCTGCAAGAAACTCTTGCATAGTAAGATGCAGGAAACAGTATTGAGCTTTAGGTCCTCTGTCTGGTCGCTCTGCCATAATGTTTAAATCAGGCAAACGATGGAGTAGGCCACAATCTTCCAGTTTCCCAACTTCATCAGATTCAAACGTTAGTCTCCCTTCTTCAATTCCTTTAAAAGCAATGCTTCCAAGTTTTTTGAAATCTTCTTGCACCTGTCTAGCCAAGTTATCAAACGGTTTAAAAAATTCGTCCTGACTAACAGTTTCATTGCGGTATCTGTCACTGTGCCTGAAGAAAAATAGCTTAATGGCGAAGCTGTATATATGGGTGAGCTTTGTCGGTAGGCTAGCTAAAGCATGAGAGGAATTGGCAGGTAAGTTCTTCAGAATGTGTAGCAAACACGAACAAATGATGAAACAGTTAACAGGAATGTAGCATAATGAAAAGAGGTTAACGTTGTTGCTGATGTGTTGCCATACTGTTTCTTTCGCACCCCTGTCATCATCTGTGAACTTCCCTACATAGTTTTCAACTTGCTGGGAAGAAAATCCAAGAATTTCAACTACTCTACTGAACTCGAGATCCCTTAAGCATGATACAGCAGTAGGTCTTGTAGTCGTTAAAACAGTGGCTCCCTCAAGGAGTTTTCCCGACGCAATCTTCTTATACAAAGCATACAGAGGCATTTTCTCTTCAATATTGGCTTGAGCATTTCTTGAGTCGTCTTTATTTATGTTTTCTCTGGCAGAGAATTCATCAATTCCATCGAAAATAAAAAGTACTTTGTTTGGGTTTTCAAGAATGTAGTTCCAGAGCTCATCATCCACAGTTGAAGAAAATTCAGAAAGATCTAGTAGTTCACGAAGGTTAAGGTCTGCTGTAGAGTTCAGTCTTTTAAATTTGAAAAGGAAAGCGACATCATATCGTAATTGTGTATGCGCTTCGTCGAATAAGCGCTCGGATGCCCAGTCGCGCATAAACTTCGTGCAAAACAATGTTTTTCCAATTCCAGGGCGACCGACAATAAGAATATTTTTGTGCTGCACATCAACAATATCTCCGGGTCTTGTTGGCCGTAAATTCTTTTCTGGTTTGGGATACACTTTCAACTGTTCCCGCCTGTTTATAGGAAAGTCATAATAGGCTCTCCCAGGATAAATGATTAAATTAGTAAAAATTTGATCGAGTTTAAGATCTTTAGGTTTATTGCCTTCACCAGGGTTTGGTCGGTAAGGTGAAAAGAGATCCTTAAGTTGCTCAGTGTTTTTTGTGACCTTTTCTTTCATCCACCTGATTGAAGTTTGCAGCTGAACTGAAAGTTCCCACTGTGACTGTTGCAGCCGCAGCGCTTCCGGGGAATAGTTATTTGTTTTAAGATGATCAGTATAAAACTGCAAGTCGTCCATAAACTTTGTTCCTTTTCTCGCTCGCGACAAGATAAACAAAATCTCAATCAAAGGAGCCATTGCAAGAAGTCCACTCGCCCCACTTACAGCATACACTCATAAGGTTTTCTTATACGCTCGCTGGCTGTTGCATTCATAAATTGGAGTTTGTGTGTTCCCAGTTGAATTCGCTGTTTGATTGACTTCCCTCATGAGGTTACACTTAAAGTCTGATGGAAATTCACGAGGATAAAATACTTCAGTTAGTAGAACGACGATAAAAACAATCCCGAGACAAAGCCTTATGGCAAGTTGACAAACGTAAAATGCAAAGAGCTTTCTTTGCGGTCTTGCGTTGACCTGTTGCGCTTCTTCTACAACTGTGTTTCTTGTTTCAAGTTGATGAATTCTTGATTTTACAGACTGGGAATATATACCGCAAACAATCAGAGGTAGAGAGAAGACAACAATCACAAAACCGTAAAGAGGAACAGAGAGTTTGTTGTAAACCTTCTCGTAAAGCACCAAACACTTTCCTCGGATAAAGTCCTTGTCGACCATGGCGGAGTTCACATCACAGCGGAAATCAAACCTCGATTCGTTGATTTCCACGTCCTGAAACACTCCAAACAATACTATTCCGATTACAATCCAAATAACATTGAATGTAAAACTGAACTTGTTGAAGGTTTTAGGCTTCCACAATTCCTTACACGATGTAAAAGCTTCCATTTTACAGTTTGGTCTTTGAGGTCTGCTTTCATTCAGCAAAGGCGTGGCGGATGTGTCTGATTTAACTGATGCGTATCAAGCATAAGAGGTAAAAAGATCTGTCAAGACTGAGCTGTCTTGAGTATGCTCTGTGACCCGAATACCAAAGTTGACCGATTAACTGGCCACAGGCCTGTGCCCAGTTTATAACTAAATATGTCGATTCTCCGTCAAACAATGAACACCATCAATGATTAATCCACTAACCCAGAGGCCGTTGAGATCCATAACGCATGGTTGTCCATCTTTGGTTTATTTAGCTTTGATACATGCACATATTTACCGATCCACTGCTAAAGATGAAGCAAACGGTAAATACAGTACATTAACAATAAAATCGGTTTCACAAACATGTTGTGGGCAGAGTGTGTGGGTGCCCTGTGGTTGGAGGAACTTTGAGAATTTCGCATACAAGTTCATCTCATAGCCTCATTGGCGAGGGGGCAAATAGGCGGCGAAGCTTCGAGAACGCAAAGCTTCACCAGGAGCTTCAAATACAAACTTAAGAGATATAGGGTACTAAGGTACAAGGTTCAGTGTCGGCCAGGGGGGGTAGTGGTATACCAGTATACCCGAAAAAAATTCGCCAAAATATCCCAAAATACCCAAAATTCATCCAAATATACCCAAAATTATACCCAGGTATACTTTATACCTGAAATTCAAAGAAAGTGATATACCGAATACCCGTATTTAAGCTGCAATATACCGTATACCCGATTTAAAAAGCCCCTGTATACCGTATACCCCAAAACCCTGGCCGACCCTGAAGGTTTGATGAGTTAGCTCCTAGAGCTTACAGTTGTTCTCATTGTGGCCTAGACTTTTTGCTTTTGTTTGTAACTATATCATTAAATTTGTTCGTGATCGAGTGTTATGCTTCTCGTAATTCCTTTGTCTCCGCCAATTCAACAAGCACGGTTGATGTTAGCATTAGATAGTTTCGATAAACTTTGAAAGTTATTTCGCAGCTCGCTTAAACATGCACACCTTTTTTTGGTCTAAAAATAAGAGGGGGACCCTCCCCTGGATCCACCAATGGTATCTTACTGAAAGAAACACTGTAAATGTGAGGAGGTAAAGTTAAGTATGTTACGTAGGTAGGGGTTTAACTATATTAAGGTCAATTTTTTGAGCTTCGAGATGAATCACTTGAACAAAAAACCATTTGAGTTTGTCATCAGCACCTTGACCCTAACTCAAATTACGGTAAACAAGACGATATGGATCGAGCGTAAACGTCGGCGTAGAACTAAACCAATCACAAAGGGTAGGAACAAACTGATTATGATTGGCTTATCCTTCCTCTGCTGCTTCCGAGTCCGACAAGCTGATCCTCACTGGATCGTAAACAACGGAGTCATGAGCGGAGTTGGAAGAAGATGAAAATTTTCTGAATCTAGCGACTCCGATTCCGTATTTACGACTCCGCATACGACTTCGAGTCATTGAGGGTAGTGTCTGATAAGAGAAATTGTCTATTTGCTTTGTTTATGAATTCAAATCTTCCAACTAGAACCAACTTTTCCATTACGACTTGACCTTTCAACGATACAAAAAAGGCAGGACTAGAGCCAAATTAACCGCTATGAAAAGGCATTTATTCAATATTTTTGTTTAAAAACGTCAGTATTGAAGTTACAGTAATTGTTCATAAAGAACACGTATTGAGTTCTGCAGCCATTTTACAAGAACTTTCCTAGGCTATTGGAGAGGCCACTTAATAACAGTGGAAAACTTTTTTACTTGACACACAAGAAACGAAGGCCAGTCACTACGCATGCCACTTTTCAATTATTGTCTTGAACCTTTGGACATATCTTACATTAATTTTATGTTTTCACAAGATAGCAACAGTTCAATAACCTAAAAGTGTATAACGCGTATTAGACAGTTAAAAACCTACGATTTCAAGTTGCCGGGTAAATACAACAAGTACGCGGGATATCAAACAGCTAGGGATTTCTTTTGGTTTTATTTTTCTTATTTCCCTATGAGAGTAGCCGGGAACCACGTTCATAGTAGCCGCCCCGGCTCTTAATCATAGCCCTGTGAACACAAGTCATTTTAAAAGGGTCTTAACAACAGACAGTAAACTTGGGTTCTGGTGTGTTCAGCAGCTGTGTACTTCACCAGAAGATATGCTAGTCTGGTGCAGGAAAACAGATCTTTTGATTTAATAGTACACAATATATCAGATGAATGTAAAACAAAGATTCTTTTAAGAGACTGCAGCACCAATTCGAGGAATACTCCACAAACATTAAGAAACATTTTAATAAGGGAGAAGCAGTGACATAGTGGGTTCTGCAGAGACAGAACGTTTATTGTGTGTCAAGTACATCAAGGGAAATGACATTGAGGATAGAAAAATAATAACACTGGTGTAAGTTAGATTGGCAAGCCGATGTATTTGCTCCAGTTTTGATCAATTTGTTTTTTTTTGCAACACTTGGATGTGTTTTAATAGATGAAGTTTATATTGAAGAAGTCTAATAACTTATTTCTATTCATCAGAGCCTGTGTTTCGTTTCTGTCTCCTATTTCTCGGTGAACGACGCGGGGAATTTTTGCCAGCTGAAAGAGACAAACGAAACGTTTAAGTAAGAACATCTTCATTATAATACCCTCTCTCAACCCAGAAACACACTTCCCTTTCTATGAGACATACTTTCCCCTTCTTATCCCAAATATCCCTCAGTTATTGATGGCTGAGTGAATGATGTGGTTACTTCTTCACTTCTTCCATGTAACTAACCTTAACCATTCTACATCATTAAAAGCTGTCACATTAGCGAGGGGAGGGTAATAGACCAATTTAGATACCGTAAAATTCCGAAAATAAGCCCCGTGGCTTATATTTTTTCAAAGGCCCTTTTTGAGGGGCTTATTTTTGGAGGGGCTTATCTATAGAGGGGCTTATCTATGGAGGGAAATGTGCGTTTCAAAATCGATTGGGCAAGCCTTATAGTTGGAGGGAAATTTTATTTACCGTTTTTGCTTTGTTTTACTTTGTATTTGAGGGCAATTTCCAAGTACAAGCCCCCAGGGGGGCTTATATTTGGAGGGGCAATTTAACGCAGGGTTTTTTGCGTTACGAGTTTGGGGGGCTTATATTTGGAGTCGCTTATACATGGAGGGGCTTATTTTCGGAATTTTACGGTATATTAACATTCACGCTTGGCCGAGGATTGGGTGGATAAAAGAAAAACAAAATCATCTTGACTTGAGTCTTAGCAATGAATTCTTTTGTTTTACTCTCCCAAACCTTGGAGCCAAGTACGAATTTTAAAACATCAAAATTGGTCTATTATTACCATCCGAAAGAATTCACAGGCTAACAGCTCTTACGTGTACCATTAATTTTGTGAGACCCGGCTGGCTAGACGAATTGTACAATTAATTAGGGTTATCCAGTGAGATCATTTTTATTTCTAACTGGTACCCATGGCATGTAATTTGAGAGGATCACTAATTTGAACAAGTTACTACAGTCTCAGACAAAAAATTGTTGGGACTCTTCCATTGCACGCTGATTTCTTCTTTCTTGCCCATCTCCTCTCTTTCCTAATCAGGGTCCGAAATTAACTTTTTAATACGGGCGCCAACTGGCATTTCTTCTTTTTTTGGTGCCAGAGGGCAAATCGTCTTTCCCTCCCTTTTTTCAAATAAAAGTTTAAACACAATAAAAAAATGTATGGTACAGGTTTTTATGCTCAGAAAATTGCAACTCACCAGAAAGCAACCGAACGTCTTGTGCTCCAACATTTTTGGGATATAAAGAGGAACGTAGGAACAGAAAAGTGTCCCAACATCATTTTTTTCTCTGATAACTAGACTTACACTGTAGTCAACATGAAAAGTCTAGTTTTTAGCTGTTGTGGAGGTATTATTAAAAGATTCGTTTCAAAAAATTAAAAAAATGGCCAAAAAGTAAGACACCTGTTGGCAAAAATGTCCCAGTTTCCCAAACGTTAACCAATCAACCACCGCTAAACCAGCTGAAACAGACTTTACAAAAGTCTATGATTTCTTCATCATTCCAGAACCAGTAACATTGGGAGGGCCAGAGGAGGTAATTATACTGGCCAAGGGTCTAACCAATCACCAAATGAAAAGACTTTAAAACAAAATTCCAGCCATTCTCTCATACTGCATATCCTTTTAAAAAAAAGCCATTCTCTCCTGCATATCCTTTTAAAAAATGAATCTTGAAGAAAAAACGCTAACATCACTGACACAGACTCCCTCCTCCGTTCCCACGTTGGGATCAAACTCAAATCACTCCTGTAAAGACTACAAGAGCAAATAAATTACCACTGAGCTACAAAACATACCAAACTCCGTTGTTGTTTCCTTTGGAAGCCAGTCATAGTCAATATCAGTATTCTGCTGTGTTCCCATTTCTACTACAGGCTTGAGAGCTGGCTTCTTTCCCTATATTTAAAAAAAAGGGATTGTTTCAGCATCAAAACAACAATTCAGATTGATGACCATAGAATACAGTAACCGTTATTGGTCATTTAAGGTGAAGTAGAACAAATACCAGAGCTGCCACTAATTTAATTAAATAGATGGAAAATCTTAAAAGCAGGCAGGGTTGGAAATGCTCTGTGTTGTCAATGCGTTACGGTAAGTTTCTATCAGAGAAAGCCAGGTTTTAAAACTTCAAATAGCCAAGCAAACTTCCTGACCACTGTGAAAAAGGGGATTTTTAAAGTAGAACTGTTCAATGTTTCTTCAAACCCATTTGATACCAATTTTAGGCTTTCACAGCCAATTTTTTGGGACAATAGGAGTGACTGGTGCAAATCACGAATTTGTGAACTTAGTTCACGAGTCCCAAAGAGAATTTAGCAGTCCCAATTTTCAGTGTTATGGCAAACACGTCTTGTATAAATTTCAAATAAGAAAGATGAACTTTGAAAAACTGATGGGCTGAATGGTTTTCAAAAACCCAAAACACTTTCTATTTTGATCTTCTTCAATTCTATGAACCCACACATGGCTTCCTTAGTATTTGATGCCTTGTTAAATGTTCTTTTGCTGTTACATTATTTTTCACTCAGTTAGTGGTCAATCAGTAAATTTGGCTAACAGTATAAAGTAGCTCCCTAAGCACTGAATAGTAAATAACAGTAAAAATGATGATGTACTTTGACTGAAGTGAGGGCATAGTGACCTCCCATAACCAACAAAAGGCCAACTGCAGCCAGGAACACGTACAAAAAGAAGCTGAAACAGATGAAGTTTAAAACAAGATCATTCCTTTGCACAAAGCAAAATTAACATTATTCTATGTATAAATTCGTCACAAAATCAAGATTTACTGTTGGCAAGAAACTGTAATCTAGAACAAGTTGTTGAATGTAAAAGGCCCATTTCAGAATTTCTTGTCAAAGGAAAGGACAAATCTAAATGTCTGTCTGTTTTTAATTTAGATGAAAATTTGATGCATGGGAATAGTTTCCTACTATCAGATATTCACTTAGTGTAGTGCATAGTACATGTAACAACAACAAAAAAATTGATTACAGAAGTTACATGTATGGAATGATAGCAGTGAGTCCTTACGTTTCACCATCTATTCCTTCATCACTCTCTGTAATGTTGATGGTCTCATTAAATACTGCATCCATGAAGGATTTGCCTTCCTGATGGACAAAATAAGCATTAGTATCAGGAATAGAAAAACTCAAAGAACCTGGTTGCTGGTAAGGTTAACATTTGACCAACAAACTTCTGCTCCGCAAGTGGACACCCCACCAACCAAGCTAATGGGGAACAAGTTGTTCAGGCTGTGAACTAGTGATAAAATTATTCTATTTTGACATGAATATCTCACCGAATCCTTGTACATCATGTTAATGGTAAGTCCAAATGGTCGTCCACCAAAAGACTCATGAGGCTTGAATGCATATTCAAAGGATGCCTAAGTACAAACCAAGGAATTTGCAAGTTATCTTTCAAAGTATCAAGAAAACCTGAAAGTTGCTTGCAAATTGGCAGTTAGAATTCATCACTTCTTATATGAAGACCTTGTGAATTTTGGAAAAAATTAATGTGTTTTTAGAATAAAAGTGTGGCATTGATGGGCAGTCAGAGGTCCTTGTTTGTTTCAGAAAATTTAGCACAAGTTCCACCAAGAAAAATACTACAACTGCAGATGCCATCTTGGATTACAAGCCGTTTCTTAGTAATCAAGTTCCTTTGCAGTGTTCTAATAGTTAACAGATACATTTCAGCGTGCAAAGAAAGTGGTGTCCGATAGCCCGGGGATAGTGGATTTTGCTATCGGGCTAGTGAATCTTGTTGTTAACTTGCCCGACGGGCAAGTGATCTTTTTTGAGGAATTCGAATAACAGAAGAACTGTGAGGTCAATTCTGCTCTTCAAAAAGCTTTTGGGGATAGTTGAAATGACGTTTGGGCTAGTAACTGTTAGCTTCAGCTTGCCCGAATGGCAAGCTGTAAAAATGATTTTCTTTGTACCGTGCGTTGGGTCAGACTGGATGTTCGTAATGCAGAATTAAAACTGTCCAGTGGCACCTGCACTGAAAATTCTCAATATCATTCTGGAGAGTCTAACTCTCATAATAGCAGAGTAAAACCGGCTTTCTGATTAGAAGTAAATCAGGTGACAAAGTCTTTGGAATTAGTGACGACTGTGACATATTAAGGAGCCATGTGCTTCCCAGGGATGTATATGAGCAAAAGCTGAGCAAGCTTTTTTATTAGTCATGCTGGCTTTTTCACTTAACTGCACCTTCAAAATTAGCCCATATCTTTGTTTTCAAGGGCAATTTGAGCTGATGGTATGAAAATTAACCAGCAGCAGGTTAAGAGGAAACATCCCTGGGTCCCTTAAAACACTTGCTTGGTGTCCTGTATGTACTAGTTGGTTAGACCAATACTTCAACCCTGTTGAATCAAAATTTGTTAAAAAAACATACCTGACTACCTGGTTGAACTACAGTATTGTACTGGAATGCAGTAAACTGTCAAAAAAATAATAACAAATAAATAAAAAAATTAAAAAAAACTTTTTAAATAATTCTCATGTAATATTCACAAATTTTGTTATGTTAGTGGTAATTGTAAAATACTTAAAACTACATGTAACAGACATAATTCCAAATGAAAAACTAAAATGTTCACAGGAAAAAATATTTTTTGCAGAGCATTTTTAATTTGAAGATAACTTACATTTTGAATGAAATATGTGTAATCTTGAGGATACCTGCAATACAAATACAGCATGTGATTAAAAGTGAGGACAACATCAACTTTGTTACAAAAAATTGTCTTGTGTGACTAGGGTTACATTCTCAGAGAAACTTCGCGAGGGTTCAAAGTTTGTTTATTTCAGGACCTCTTGTAAGTGTTTGAAAAAAGGTTTATTTTGTAATCTTTCTATAATTAGACTATTTGGAAATGTCTAGAATTTTATCATGGAAGTATGTAAGTTGATGAGTCCAAGAGTGGTTTTAACTACAATCATCGTCAAAAGTGCTGGGAAGGTTGCTTTTTCTACTTCTTTTTTTCCTTCCTCCCGTGCCCCTGGCCCAATGTTGAGCAAAACGTTAATGTTTGTGTGCGTTATTGTTCTGTTACATCCCAACATTGAATAGGGGGAATGGGGGATATTTAGCAAAAGAGAAAACTCTCTTTTTTGAGGATTAAAATGGACTACCGTCAAGTTGCACAACCTTCCCAACAACTTTTGTCTGTGACTGTAGTTTTCACAAGTGAAAAAAGTTTTTGCTCGCTCTTCAATTCATCTCCTACTGCTGCTAATTATTATTGCATATACCCAGCAAGTTAAAATCTGGTCATTTTTTATTCTGCAAAAATGTAAAGTTTCTTTTAGACCTTCTTAAAAACCAAAAGAAAAAAGGAAGGAAATTTCAGTCTAATATTGCGTTACCACTACCATACTTTTGATTTTGTAACTGAAAAAGATGCAGTTACCTCAGAGATGCTTCTACCAGTTCCACAATGAAATCATTCTTGCCGTTATTTGCCAGACCAACAAGACACTTGATCACCTCACCAGCTGGATATTCTATAAGAAAAGAATAATATTTCAAAGAAATGTTACTTGGATGCAAAAATTGTTTTGAAACTTAGGAAGTCATAAAAGGTTTTTCTGACTGACTGTCGCCCTTTTCCTAATCCAGTTAGTGGCCTGTTGACAATAAGTTCTTAAACCATGTCAGGCTGAGCTCTAACAGTACCTAGTGGCCCCTGGTACCTAACTTTTGGCTCCTTGGTTACGTACTAGAAAATCTTAGTTTTTTTCACAGAAATCATAAGCTGGACACCCTGGATTTCACAGGTTCAGAGCAACAGGCTCCCTTCAATTTTTCTTAGCGCACAGCCTTGAATGTCTTAAGTTAATCTTACTGAGAGTCCTGTATTTAATTTGGATCTATTAATAAACGATGAACATCCTTATAACAAACCTCTACTTTTTAGAAGCTTCAGTAACAAAGGCAGGTGTGTAAGGGGCTGTTTATATGATACTGGAATGACTTTCATTCTGGTATGAATTTCACTGCAGATTGAATAATCGACTGGCTCAGCTTATAAAACCTTAAGGTGTTTTTGCTCACATGCTTTTTGCACCAGATCAGACTTGCATGCGCCACTCTCGTCCAAGGCTACATGATTTTCAATCTGGAACAAAGTTCGTTTCCAGTTTACATGATACCAGAATGAAATTTCATATCAGAACGAGAATTTCATTCGGATCGAAAATCAAAAGGAACTCACTACGGAATGACTTGTATTGCATTGGAATGGAATGTCCTTTTGATCGGTATCATGCAAACAATACAGAAAAATGTATGGAGATGGAATGAACTTGTTCCAGAATGAAAGTCATTAGGGTATCATGTACCTTGGTTGGCAGGCTTGGTAAAAAGAATGACAGTATCAGCATCTGGTGATGGCTTGAGTGCTTCCTCTTTCTCCTCTTCTTCTTCACCACCTTCGGCCTCAGTTTTCTGAAAATGTGAAAGCAATATTATTGGTTTTCTACTCTTACATGTAAGATTACCATAGAAAGCAAGGCTGTGAAATTCACCACAATTTATTCTCCCAGCAAAGTCATACCAGGTCAAATGTTCAACTCTGAACATTAATAATTCTGTTTAGGAAACATTTAAACTTAATAAACTGACATATTAACTGAAAATTTTGTCTTATCTACTTCAACAAATAAATTTCTAAGTCAAGACACCAAGAATATTATTCTTGTCAGCCAGTTCAGAATAGAAAATGGTCAACTCAAAGTTGCTACAATTAAAAACTTAAAACAATGCCATTTTCACTGGAACCTGCAGGAAGTGCATGTAAAAAAGCAATGATTAGAGAGATTAAGATTTACGTTTATGCCAAAAGGCAAACGTGAATTAGTACCACGTAACCAAGTTCTTCCCTTAATTGTTGTTAACTATTTATTACTTCAGATAAAAAACAAGTAGTTTCACACCAATTTTATACATAAGACTTGTTCTGTACAGTTTTTATCTGCTTATTTTTTATTCTGAGAAATTTTCAACTTGAATCTGATGTTTGTCGTTCGCTGTAAATGTGACTCAATCTCTCTATTAATGAAATCACTACTTACAGTGTCTTTTGTGGCAGGACTGTCTTCTTTTTCCTCCTCTTCCTCAGTGTCAACCTGTTTTTGCCAAATTAATAGAAACTGGAACTCTGCCACTAACAAATACTTAACCACAAAACCACCCCCATATACAATGAAAAGCAATGATCTTAACAAAGCATAATACTGCAAACATAGCATTCAATATTACAGCTGAATATGGGTTATTTGGTCTCTGGTATGGTCGGTGAATTATATGTAACAAATGGCAACTAAGGTCAACATTGCCTGAACAATTTTGATATCCCTAGATAGTAATATTATTAGAGAGCTTTTAATACCATTTGATACTGCTTATGAGAAAACCCATGAAAACTACCATTGCTACTGTTTATGTGAAAACCCATTAAAACTAAAGTTTTAGTTACTTTTGGAACTTAGACAGTAAATTAAAATGAAGTTGTCAAAATGCATTATTTTAAATAGTGAACTGCAATAACATAAGGGTATAAGGCTTGAATAATGAAATAAGACCAACAATATCAGGAGCGAATACTGGAAAACAGCCAAATTTCAGAAATAATTACATTACACCTATAGCTTGAATCAGAATGATTTTGAAACTGGGCATTAGAACAAAACTAATGTAAAAAAACCTCAAAATGTGAGCTATGTTAAAAGATAGACATGTCCACAGGTCTACAGAGCATTTTAGTCAGTAAAAGGAATTTACAGTTTTGTTAATTTTACATAATATTGAAAGTCCATTGATCAGGTTGTTGAAACAAATACTTTCATTACATTAGTGCTCATTTTAATTCTAATGTTGTTTTTCAATGACCCAGTACAGTTTCATTCATTCACTCTCTGTAATAGTAAGAAAATGAACACAACAAATGAGATTCCCTTTAATGCAGTTACCCAAGAGAGACTGGCAGTAAAGGTATGGGATGAAATAACTGAACCATGACTTCACATAAAAGCTTTAACCGTATCAATTTATAAAAGCAAGTTAACAATAAAAATAACACTGGGGAGAAGTCTACACATTCATCAGTAACTCTTATAACTCTAACCTTTCCATCGTCAACTTCTTCTTCTACAACATCTTCAACATATTCTTCATCTCCCGCGGCTTCAGCTTCAGTCGGTTTTGCAACTTCTTGCTCATTTTCGACCTCGTCTTCTCGCGCCATAACACACATGTCTGTTTATGTTCCAATGATTTCATGACACGTACACAAACGAAGATAAAAATTACGTTTGTTTTAAACAGGAAACATTGTGAGAGAAGTATGCATAACATTTCAACTGCTATTCTCTAACGGTCTGTTTATTGATTAAGATCTAGTCCTCAGACAAAACAAAGGAAATCATTCGCCCAACGAAAAGACAACAACTTCTGTTGATCAAAGAACAGAGAGAAAGAAGCAAGATTCGAGAGTTGCTGCGAGGTCGAAAATAAAACACTCTCGTCGGCGAAACAATCTCCCGAATTGCAACTTTCAAGTTGTTACTAGCTCTACATTGGTACGATCATTCCAAATGCCTAAAACATCACTGGACGCTAGGGGATTCGAAAGTTCGAGTATCCAGACTGACTTTCCTACGTTACAAAAGAATAAAAATCACGCAAGATAAAGTGCCTTACCATTTCCAATCAGGACCAGCGATGAGGGTAAAATTAAAAGAAATAGAAACATAAATTTCCCTAATGTAAAAAACATGATGAACTGTTATAAAAACCGCTCCTTCTTACGAGATGGAAACGGATTCTTCGACTGTGTTTTCACACAATCAGTTGAAAATGGCTGCCAGGACAAAGAGGGCAACAGGGGGAAGAGTCCGCAGACATCACTGATCAGCTGAGAACAGCCTATTAGTTACCAGCTTCCTCGCTTTCCTTCTCAGAGGATATTGAGCCAGCGATCAGTACTAACATTCACATTGGCATCAGCAGGGCTGAAAAACGACTGCGCATGCGTCAGGCGAGGCGGTTGTCTCTCATTTCGATCGTTTGATCAATGAAAAGTAGGGAGTTTAAGATACGGAGACTACGGACTACGAACTACGGCTGGACGAGCGTTGTCGTTTGTTTGTAGCACTGGGTTGAGTCGTGCAAATATAGAACGTTAAGATTCCACTACAGACGGCAGACTACGAGAGAAGAGGCGGAGAGGGAAACAACACGCAAAAATTTTCTTGTTTTCACCCCAGTTCACAAAAATGCAAGTCAGTTTTGCATGTGATCTTATCTTTAGAACAATGAACAAATTCTTCCATACTTGAAGGAAGCAATTACGTACAAGTCGATTCGCGTACAAGTTGATTCGCCTACAACTTTACTCCTTGTTCCATCACCGTAGCTCGGGTGAAATTGGTAAACAAAGTTTTGGTTGCACAGGTTTTATTTTTTTCGCCCATGAATACTTATGTAAAATATTAAAGAAATAGACAGAAATAGTAATAGCTCATTTATTAGATTTAGAAGATGGACTTCTCCGACTACTGATCTGATGTAGTTTGAAGTATTGAAATGCCCAGTTTCGATTGTCTCGAAGATGTTTACATCATTTTCATTCAGCAAATGCGATACAAAAACTCGCATAAACAAAGGTCACACAAGTAGAAAGACACATTAAACAGTTCGAACAAACATTGAAACTTTTCAAGTGTGAAGAGAAAGTAAATTACCTGCATGATTTCTCTTCTCCTGGGCCATCAATCGGAATTCTGCGTATAAACAGCTAAGCGTCTTTAAATAAGAGCTTAGCTAGATAAAAATGTAGTGACAACGGTGGATTAAAAGCGTAAATCCGAGCAGAAATTAGACACAACTTACATATTTCGCTTCCCTCTCACTTAAAGCAGGCAAATTGAACCTTTTTTTACGAAAAGACGAGATTCTTGAATTACCGAGACGGCAAAATACGAGCAAAATGTTCTCCGTAGTCCCGACTACGCGAAACAGCTCAACAACTCACCGTAGCCGCAGGACTACGCGGGAAAAATGAACAGTCACGTGGTTTTGATCATGCGCAGTAGCATGTTTGTCCGTAGCCGTAGTCCGTAGTCGGAGTATCTTAAACTCCCTAGTATGGTGGTGAACGCGGCCGTTCCCAGGCAATGTTTGTTTACAAGATGGAACTGAGAGACGCAGTTTGTGAACGTTTTCAGTCAACGGAAATTCTCTGACATGCTGAAAGGATTCTAGGGGAATGTTCGTCTATTTAGATAGTTTAAAGCCGGCGGACAAGTTCCTGAAAGCGTCCCTTCTTTGTGGAAACGATGGCCGCTCTTGGTGAGTAGGTTTGATTGATTTTATACACTTTAAAAATATAATCGAGTTATTATCAAGTGAACTCTCAATGGACGTAACGTGATAAATTCCTTCCAATCATAGTTTTATTACATTTTAACTCCCAACCAAGCCCGCATGTAAACTGAGAGATAAAACTGAAATCGCGCGGGAATTTAAGTCTTCATGAATAAACAAGCATGCTTCACGTAAACAGATGGCATTAAAATATACCGTCTCGAGTTAATTGACAGTAATCCTTTTATTGTTGACTTGTTCCTGTATAAGTACTTTCTTGGAAGTTTATAGAGGGGGTTTTCTGGCATGATTCATCGACCAAAGAAATAACTTCTACGAATTGCGGATTTTTACTAAAATGTCATTTCATGTTCAGTTATTGGCTATCAATTTGAGTCTTTCTCGGGCGCGATCCACCTTTGGTCACAGGACACTAAATAATTATCTTATTGAATTCAGGATTCATGACTTTTATGAAAGCACCTCTGTACGGCCCTCTTTCTAGTTGAACGTCACGTTGGTGACAGTTCCAAGTGTATATTGAAAACCATTAATTCTCTTATACCAAGAGAGAAGTTCAAATGAATGCTGCCACTCTGTAAAGGCAACTTGGGCCCCACTGTTCCCATGAAAATGACTGTCTAAAAGAAAAACTCCCTGTGTTGTTGGAATAAAGACAACTGTGTTGGACCGTAAGATAAATACTGATGTTGTTCGCCCTTTGGCTAGAGCTTGTCTCCAGTAGTAAGGCAAAGAAGCTGTGGGATTCGTCTCAGGGACAATGCTAACAGGCAGTTCAGGTCCCACAGTAGTATTTCCAATGATGTTATTTAAAACACTAGAGGTTTGAAGTGCCTCCAACACACCAAATGTTCGAGGTATACTCGTTACTGAGTCATAGATAGAGTTCCCAGCCAAAATGCCTTGCACAACTATCTGATAAACCCATGTCTGGCTTAGTGGACTCCCAGTTGCTGGAATGTTGACATTGGGTGAAAAAAACATTTTGCTAAATAAAAGGGCAATGAATGTGCATGCATTACTTCCTGTTCTTCCAAGGATTGTAGATTGAGAAATGATATGTGGGAAAGACCAGTAGGTGACATTACCATTGTGATAGGGTTGGATGGTAATGGGTGTGAGAACATGAGATGGGGTATTAGAGTTGGATTCATGTACTGTTGGCTGGGCTGAAGAGTGATTGTGGTTTGGATGGGATGGAAGAGGGATTGCTGCATAACTATTCACTGTGCTGTCAACCTTCGTAGCCCATTCTGCTGAGGAATAAAATGACTGAGCCTCTGTCACACTCATGGCTGCTGGTGTACTAATTCTTTCTTCTTCCTGAATGTCTTCATTGCTTTCAAAAGCAAGAGTATCATTAGAAGTTAGCAGTCCAGTGTTGAATGTGTTCACTAATTTTTCCACCTTTTTCTTCAGTGGAACCAGACAGATCGGGCAACAATCATGCGATGAAATGCAAGATTGGTGAAAACAATGGAAGCAGGCCAATCTCATGACAGTACTTGTATCTCTTCTTGTGCATGTTGGATAATCACAGTAAACATTTGGGTCAGGTTCCAGGCCAGGTTCCACATCCTCCAAGTTATAACTCAGTGGAAAACACTTTGTGTCAACTATTGTGTCAAACGTTGGGAGATAATACTGTGGCTTTCCCTTTGGTCTTCCATTATTTGCAAGGGAGCGTTCGACCTAAAAAGACAAAACCAAATGAGGTCAGTAGAATATGAATACACTGAAGTGAACTTACAGGTGTGTGCACAATGCATTTTGCATATTTTATTGTGCTTCTTTACTTTAGTTTTAGTTCACAACTTTGTTTTCTTACTCTGTGGATTGACTGTATAACTTTTTACCAATTCTTTTGATTATTAGAGCAAAAACTGATAATTACTTTTCAGATGAAGTAATGTCAGTGTCATCTCTTTTTCAGTTATTAAGAACATAGGGCCAGTTCCTTATCAAGTCGTATGGTACCTGTGTTATGGGCACCTTTAAAACTTTATAGTTCACTGTATTTACTTGCCAGAAACAATGTAATAATTATAAATAATTATTTGTGATATGTTTTTGCCTTAGGAGTGTTACCTGGTGTGATTTCTGACAGTTTCTTGAGACATTCCTAAACAGTTCAAGTAAGAATTCTGCTGTCTTCCCTGCGATAAGCCATAAGTTTGGTTCAGCATGACCGCGGTGGTATTGAGGAACAAAGGACTGTATAAAATCATTTAAAAACCTGATGATGCGATAGACTTTGCTGTGTCTTCAATGCTTTTTGCATCGTCAAACTTCTCAGTGTTTCTTCGCAGTACAGAGTGCCAAACTTCAACCTTCTTTTCTGTGATCAGTTTGAGAACACTTGCCTTCTTTGACCAGTATTCTGGAAGATGTTTGCACTGGTATGCACAATCACTCAAAAATGACAAGGTTGATTTGTCATAATGTCTCCTTTTCCAGCATATGAAAATTATAGCTATTTGTGCCATAACTTTCTCATACAACTTTAAGTCACCACTTCTGAAAATGTTATACTGGTAGAACACAAGGGGCAAAACATGTTCAAGCAAGTGTAGAATGGTGACAAATTCATGTTGCTTGCACTTTCCAAACTTTTCCAGTACCTTTTGTCGTATCAGTTGCCAACCAAGTAAGGCAGCAGTAACACACAGGGATGTCTGGTATGGTTTGGGTTTCGATGCCAAAGTACCCAAAACATACGAAAACAGTTTGTCAAAAAAAAAATTTAAAATTCAAAAGAACATCTTCATAAGCATTCAGACACACATGAAATGGCCCTTGTTCTGGAATTATGCTAATGTTGGGATTCCATCCACTTGCTATCAGCTTTTTGGGATAGTACCACCCTGGCCAGTCAGCAGGCAATGGTACAACAAATTTCTTGCTGTACATGTTAAGTTGAGGGCATTTGTTCAGTACACGCTCAAGGGCCATCTTGTAATGTTCCATGCTCTTTAAATCTTGTTGAAACTCATCAACTAGCATACAAGTCTCGAGTGTCTCAATGTCTTGTGTTGTTGGATCTGAGTACACCCTGTTCAACAGACAGACATTACAGATATTTACAATTTCATTGCAATTATTAAGTCAATTTTTTTTTGCTGTTAACCTGTTGTCTTTCTCTTTTGTAATAGACATTTTTCTGTGATAAATGGGTAACAAATAAGACTAATGTGTACCTTAGTTCATGTAGTGCTGTTTGTAGTCTTCCTGGATCAAGGCTTTGCATGTAACTTGGTAGCTGGTCCCAGAACTGTTTATTCATATTCCTTAATGAGTTTGTTATTGTTTGCAGGACATCATTAATGTCAATTCCGCCAGCACAGGTCCTCTGCTCTCCATTTACATTTATTGTCACTTGTCTGTGTAAGGGAAATGCAGGCCTAGGGACTGCATGAACTGATGGATGAACATCTGCCAAACAGGATGCCATGTGAATGACATTTGTCCGTACCAACTGTGATGGTGTATGGAGTGAGTGGATGTTGTGGAAGTCATCAAGCATTAAAACTATAAAGCATTGCAGCTGTTAAGAAAGACAAAAAGCAAAATTAAACACAACACACATAAACTGTTGTGTCAATGTTATTTACTGTATGAGGAGATTTCATGATGATTCTCTTTGTTTCAAAGCTTTTTCTTGGGCAATTGGTACACAACTGTTAGATATTAGATATATTTACACCCAAGGGACTCACCTCATTTACCCTGTGAAATTGTTGACAAATGAAGCTTGTGTGTTGTACACTTAAATTAGCTTTTAACTGCTGTATTGTCCTGGGGGTTGTGCTGTATCCCAACACCTGGCCAGAAGATAGTCCCTGTAATGACATGCCACAGTTGGATGCATGCAGTCCGCTGTCCTTCTGTAGGGCAGACGTTTTTTGTGATCTGTGACAAATAAAACAAATGTTATTATACCAGTTATAAATGACTGTGTGCAAAATTATATCCCAGATCACTAAACTCAAAGTACATACCTAAAATAAGCCAGGATGTGAAGTAAAGCCACTACTCTCTGCTCTTGCAGCTTTCTTCTGTTCTCAGACAGGCTTTTACCTCCTGTAACACAGGTAAGAAGATCTTGAAAGAGTCCGGGGCTGTTTTTATTCACAAACTGTTTCATGGAATCTGTATCATAAATCTTTATGTCAGGTGTGGTAACTTGGTGCCTGTAAAGAGCCTTTTGAAATTCCTCTAACTTCTTGTCAATTGTTGATTCTAAAATAAAGGAACCCAACCGTTTAATACAAAATGTGTTTTATGTGTAAATTAATAAAACCTGTTATTCCTGAGAGCTGTTGTTTCAGCATCTCCATTTGTGTTGTCAGGGTGTGACATTTTTCAGCCTCCTTTTGGTAAAGTTGGTAAAACTCTGTCTCCTTTTCCGTTAAACTGGTCATCATATCCATTTTCTATAAAGAATGTAACAAGAACATGTTAGGAAAGTGAGTACTTGTTACTGACTTGATAAAATGTAAATGCAAACTAACCAGGGAATTGCCAATATTTACCTTACTTCGTTTTCTTCTTACCATACCACTTTCTCCTTCTGTTTTTTGTAAAACTTCCTTTTACAAGCATGGCACCACTTGCTCCCTGGTCGGAAGTTTTCGTTTTTTCGGCCGTAATTATCAATAATTCCATAATGTGTCGCTGGAATCTCTGTAAGTTTCTTTGAGTGCTTCTCTTGAAAGGGTGCAGAGCACCGATTGTCTTGGCTCTCGATCATCCGCAGATGTCTGAGGCAAACAATGGTGTGTTCCGGCAACTCTGCTGCTCTCGCTAACCCTGGTGGTAAGGGTTTGCTAGGGCCATAACAATCCTCTTTCGAGTTTCTGGTTCTACCAGAAAACCCACACCCAAAAACAGACGGCAAAATGACAATAAAAAGCCAACAAGGTGTTGTAAACAT